GCCAAACATCCTTTACTGCTGTTTCTGAAGAATCTGTTCAAATTCACCACACTGGAAAAAATCATTGGGTTTGTTCAACGTCGATCAGTGAACATTTGCGGGTTTACGACAGTTCGTCCAGGAAGAAGCTTACGTCATCGATGGAAATACAGCTGGCTGAATGTTACCAAACCTTGGTCACGGACAGGACCCTTGTTGTGGAACTGCCGTTTGCACAAATACAACAGGAAGAGGTGGGCTGTGGCTTGTTTGCCATCGCCAATGCATACGAACTGGCAGCTGGAAATGACCCGTCGGATATTTCTTTTGACTAAGGGAAAATGCGCAAGTTCAATGTTTGGAGAAGGGTCGGTTGAACCTTTTCCACGACAGTCGATCACTGCTAGATTCAATGAGAGAAAAACTTATGACCTCAATTTATTTTGTTATTGTTCAATGCCCAAGTGTTCGGACTACATGGTACAGTGCGAGTTGTGCGAGGAATGGTTGTACATGAGCTGCGAGGGACTTAAGACTGTCCCGGAGGGCGAGTGGCTCTGCACTGTCTGCAGACCGCCAGACTCTAAACGTCTTCGTAATTGTTAAGGTGTTATTTCGGATCCCTCGACAGTTAATAATCGTTAAAATTTGAAAATAAGATTGAGTTCGATATAATAGTCTCCACTTTTGTTAAGACGTGGACACTTAAGTTGATTTGTATTTGAAAATAAGCTAAGAGTTCCAATAGTTCAGAGTAGAAACATTTTTACTTATCATAGGCTTTACGAACGACTCACAGTAAGAGCAATTTGTTCAGAAACTGTTTTATGTTATTTAATTAGAAAATCAGACCGGGTCATTTTTGTGACTGGACACAGTAGTCTCTACTATTGTGATGACGTTTCATACCAATGTTGATTCGCATCAGATTTAGAGTAACAATTTGAATAGTTCGAATGCAATAGTTTGTTCATATTTAATTCTTGTGTAAACTGTACGACTCGCTGTATTAACAGCGACAGAATTGGAACGAAATGGCTGTTTTTCTTTATCTTAGTTGAGGTATGTTGTGTTGTCATTGAAAAGAACATCGACAAAAAGCTTGCAAATAGAATTAGTTACCAAATATGATACAAACGATGCTTAATAAGAAAGTTTGATAGGGGGGTCCATATCCGCTAGCGGATTTGGACCGGGGATCCAAATCCGCGGGGGGTCCAAATCCGCTGTGACACCGGCAAACAGTGGTAGAATCCAGTCTCGTTGCTATTTAAATTAACGCTTTCATGAACTACAGCTAATAAATGCAGTATCGGCAGGAAAAAAAAATTGGAGAAACTTATCGAATTGGCTCTGCTTTACGGCAAGGCGAGGTGAAGACTCTTCAACACAGCGACTACACCATGTGGTGGTTTCGCGACAGTCATCGCATTCGATGACGTCATGCCCCCTCAGCAGATCGCTGTTCTATTTGAGGTTTGTACTTTTGGTGGTTTCGGCGAGATTGTCTTCACGTCACGCCATAAGCAAGCTCGACAATTCCCCACAACATCGAAATATTTCGTGTAATGCAAAGCAAGTTAATGTCCAGCTGGAGCGTCTGATGTTCTGCAAAGACGTGTGTACGCTGTACCATACGACATTACGCCGAGCCATTTCACGCAGCGCTACACTGTTTGTATGTACGCTGTACCATTCGACATTACGCTGAGCCATTTCACGCAACGCTACACCATTTGTGTGTACGCTGTACCATTCGACATTACGCTGAGCTATTTCACGCAACGCTACACCGTTTGTGCGTACGCTGTGTTACTCGACATAACCCTGAGCCATTTGACGCAACGCTACACCGTTTGTGTACTGTATTGCAAATGAGTGCTAAGCTATTTGTAATTGAGCTAGTCCATTTGCAATTTCAATTTCTAGACCGTTTATCATTTGGCTTAACTATTCATGTTTAGGATGTTCTGTTTCATGAAGGAAAACTAAACCGTCTATAATTTGACCATGCCATTCCTTTAGTAGCTATGATGTCCTGCAGCTGATCTTTAGACCAGCTTTGTATTTGCTGATCTATTTGTCACCTTGTATTTTTGGTGGTGACGGCCGCCTATAAGTATCTAAAACAAGGCATGTATGTCTGAAATAAGGCGAGACGACAACATGACACGTACATGAAATACAAGAATCGAACAAAACCTCCACCTCCCCCTGAAATCTTACTCTCCCTGGTCCCTTGTATAATCAACTATCTCACGAAATGAAATGCGAGATATTTTATATTCCCTCAGTAGCAGAAGACTTAAAGAGCTTTACAAAATGAACTATCAAGTTACAAAAAATAATTAAGTAAAATAAAGTCGTAGTCAAAAGACTCACTTGACTCGGTTTTTTCTACCCTGGGTACCAGCAGACGTTTTGGCTCACGTCTAGAAAAAGGATGAATTAGAATGGTCATTAAAATATTTTTAAGCGAATTGTGCTTACCTTCGGGATCTTCCTTCGGCACGAACGTCTTCGTGCTGGCATGGCATTCATACAGCATGCAGTTGCACGTGTGGTGCCACTTACGTAATGGTGACTCACGTTTTGCTCCTGCTGAGATTATAAATGGAGAAAAACCCTACCTTGGACCATTACGTAATCAAATGAAACGTGTGGCAAAACTTCTGCCTTATTTTAGACATTTATGCCTTGGTTTAGATAGTTTTAGATTGTTTGCGAATGGCTGTAGATGTTTTTGAGGTGGTTGTTGAAATTTTTGAGGTAGTTGTAGGAGGTTGTAGGTGGTTTTAGGTGGTTTTAGGTCGTTCCATGTTTCAGTGCTTGCGCAAAACGGATTCAACTGCAGAAAAAAAAAAACAATGCCCGCTAGATAACAACTGCCTCATCACCAGCGTAATGTACAAAGCCAACGTGACCACCACAGGACGAAATCACATGTTTCCGTATTTCTGAAACGTGGCGGAAACATGCAACTCCATGTTTCCGTTATGTTTAACATGCACAAAAAGTGGTCCGGTTCCGTTGTATACGCAGCAACGGAAACGCGAGAAAACGTCACGAAACCGGTAACGGAAACACAGGTTATCCGTCGTGTTTCCAGAATGGTTTAACATGTTTCTGCCACGTTTCCGTTTACGGATTCTTGCAATTTCGTCCTGTGCACAGACAAGGACAACATAGGAAAGAACTACATCGCACTAACAGAAGGAACATTCAAAGACCTTCTAACAACGATATACGCAACATTAACTATCGTTCCGCAACAGAAATTATGCTGACTGCACCAAACTAGCAAAACACATCTGGAAACTCAAGGGCAACAAGGAAAACGACAAAATGAGCTTGTCTATCATCTCTTCAACAAGCGCCTACAATAATATTTCCAAACGATGCAACATTTGCCTAACTAAAAAACTTCACATTATTAAAAGAACTGAATTAACTTCGAAATGCCGCCATGAGAACAAATAATTCCTAATAAACACCGATCCCAGATTACAATACATTCCCTACTAATGATCAAACCATCTGAGAAAAGTTTGATCAAAATATAGGTTTAGAGCGCATAATAAGCACGAGAAAGGCAAGGATTTCATAGAAAACTTAAATTTATGCGAATTTCTTGAATGTTCATCAATCTTTTGAACATTATCTGTCACTTGACAACGTTTCTCAGGCCTGTACCTATTGCGATCCTTATCTAATATTATAAAGGAAAATCGACTAAAATGACTTTCAGCAAGAAGCCAATGAACTATGTGTTTTGTTTCGTTAGACTTAAGAGTACCCGTAAGTTTCGCCATAGTAGTGAGCAACTAATTAAAATTTCAAGCCGTTTTTCTTGACCGATTGTGACGAACGGAAAATAAAGGTTTTAATTTAAAGTGTATATAAAAAGTATCCGCAAAAAAGATAGATAGCAACTTTTTGAATTTTTGGCAGTTCTTTTGAGCGACTCTTAGGAATTACAGTGAGCCATATCATCCAGAATTTATGGGCACAATCGGGAAAGGCCTAATCACAATGTTTCGACTGCATACCTCGAATTCTCTTGTGGCGATGATGTCGGCTGAGTACCCAGCTGTTATGACAACTTGCTAAATAGCTTTTAAAAAGATTTTAGATATATGAAAATTCACATATTTTCACTGCGGTGGAAAGATGAAATTAGAAGATCCTCGCAGCTAAGAACACTACTGAAACTAGTAGTTGTAAGTAGGACCTGAAAAAAATTTCAGGCCCGTACGGGATTTGAACCCATGACCTCTGCGATACCGGTGCAGCGCTCTACCAATTGAGCTAACAAGCCAACTGGGAGCTGGTCAATGAATTGGGTACAAATAAACATCCGAGTGAATGAAGATTTTAGATATATGAAAATTCACATATTTGCACTGCGGTGGAAAGATGAAATTAGAAGATCCTCGCAGCTAAGAACACTACTGAAACTAGTGCAAATATGTGAATTTTCATATATCTAAAATCTTCATTCACTCGGATGTTTATTTGTACCCAATTCATTGACCAGCTCCCAGTTGGCTTGTTAGCTCAATTGGTAGAGCGCTGCACCGGTATCGCAGAGGTCATGGGTTCAAATCCCGTACGGGCCTGAAATTTTTTTTCAGGTCCTACTTACAACTACTAGTTTCAGTAGTGTTCTTAGCTGCGAGGATCTTCTAATTTCAGCTTTTAAAAAGTTTGATCGTGCAGACTGATTGTCCGCGTGAGAGAAGCCTTTATAAGAACTGTTATCCTTAGTTCACCTGGTTCATCCTAAATGCACATTTGCCTTAAAGCACACCGTTCTATCAAACGCACTGGAAGCTCAAAATTTCTCCTGTTTAGCATCTTTCCACAAGCGACGTGTCTATGCGCCTTCAGGAGCAAGTGGCAGCGGCCTATCCCATTAAAGCTGAAATAAAACACAACGACGGAGCAATTTCCCCCAATCGATTCAGTATTCTCTAGCGTAGAATACTCATGTTATTCTCTTCAGGGTGATGCACCGAAAGATGATTTGCTTTAATCAAAGAGGCCCAAATCGGCCTAAACGCCAACAAGATAGTGGCTGGTCATATCTTGTGTGTGCTTGCGCGTTTGTCTGCCAAGCGGGGAACATGGGCCTTATTTTGAGCTTTGGAGTCCTTTTTCCGGTCATCATGGAACGCTTTAACTCAAAACGACAAGATATAGGTAACATTATTTTAAATCTTGTTTTGATACAGAACTGTTGACCTTCTAGTGATGTTATCAATTTGACATCAACCTTTGATCGCCAACGAGCTTGGGTCGACATCCGGCTAGCTACATGGCATAAAACCCACTTTTTTCTTCTCTTTTTAGCTCTATTCGTGCGTAATTTTCAGAAGTAATAGACTGTAGAGCTCTACACTTGACCTCGGTACCTTAAATGATCCCTCAATTGAACTATAAATGACAATATCAGTGGAGGTTCACAAAATATCCCTTTGAAATATCTGGAATGGCATGGACTATTGGCTGAGTAGAGGAATGACTTTGTACCGTGTGACATAAGATGTGCTGGATTTTCTCACATTTTGTCCTTCAGTGGATGACCTTCCCAAAGAATATATCTTGACCCTTTTATAGACCAAATAATGGCATTATTAAGTTAATTAACACCCTTTCCTTAGGCCTGCTTTAAGGGCTGAAGTCCAGAAGTAGTGAAACTCACTCTAATATGTAATTTATAAGTCTCTTTTCAAGTTTCACTCAGGATAAAGTGGTAAAAAGTAAAGCCATTAGAACCCCACCAACTCAAACTCCCAAGGGAAACAAAATTGATTAGAGTTGAGAGGGGGGCTAGAGTTAGCTGATAGTGCTTGACCAAAAAATGGGGTCAAAAGAGATCAGATCTTCTTGTTATTGGGGGATTCAAGTTTAGTGAGTTTGAGTCAGTGGGGTTCTACTTTGTAATCATGTTCTATTTTTTTTTTCATTTCTAAATAACCAAAAATGCAAAATCAATTATTTCCTAAATAAGAAAAAAGGTTATTGTGGTTATTTCTAAGTTAAGAAAAGGCTAATGTATTTGTTTCCTAGGCAACCTGAAAACACAAAAACAGGTTATTTAAAAAATGATCAAAAACATACATATATGTTATTTGCCGGCTGGGAGGTCCGTATGATGAAAAACTGTGACCGAGTTCTTGAAAATTCTATGGCCGAGGGCAGCATTTCAAGACCGAGGTCACAGTTTTTCACCATATGGACTGACCCTTAGCTGGTAAATAACATATTTATTGTTTTTAAACTTGACGAAATTCTTTCCGAAAGAACCCGAATGATTTATGGCCGTAAATACGGCAAGATCTTCCATAAACTGAACAATTTTTGAGTGGGTAAATGGTAGTTAAAATAGAGGTGATACAAATTTAAGAGAGATGCCTCAGCGAAACATTTTCATTTCCGTAACGATAAAGGTGATTTAAAAGGCTTCCAAACAAACTTTGAAACATTATTTTTACAAGTATCTGTCACAAACTGACACCTGTCAATTAGAGAGCGCACATGAAAAAGAAAAGCGAAGGAACATTTGAAAACCAATAGAACTAGTTTGGCAAGGACTGTCACGACAATGTTTTCTTCAAAATCAGTTAATGATCTAACGGAAAGTATTATTCACTCTCATCGACGATTCATTCATGTACGAAGATTTACCTCTGTTCATTAAGTAAACGGCGAGGAAATTAATTGTGAGTAAATTCAATCTTTTTATTTTGAAGTTGTGAGAGTTTGCTCGTTTGTTTGCTGTAATGGCGTGTTTAACTCTGATCTTTCCTTCACAAAAACTAAATTCGAACAGCACACTCCAACGAGACACAAGGGAATGTAATGCGGCCTTTTCTCAAAAAATTCCTTCAATTTCTGTTGTGCAATTTAAGGTACAAATGTCCAAATTGAACGGAATTGGAAAGACTCACCAGGAGCGTATATTTGTTGTAGACTTAAATTAAAACTTCGCTCGCTCTTTCACTATGAACAAATTGCTCGAGAAAATTCAGATATTAAATGAATGAAAGTTCCATCGTTCAGTTTAACTGTAACCAAATACCTCACGTTCCAACTTTCTGGGTACTTTTTGTGAACGATTAAAATTAATTGCAGAAGGTTTTTAAGCCGCTTGTCAACCAACGTAATGACACTATTGTTTATACAAATTCATTCTGAAACCAATATTTTCTCTGTCAACCAAAGTGATTTGATAGAGAGAAAAGAGAGGATTTATAAGTTATTTATCGGCTTGAGGTAGTGACCGACGTGTTTGCTTAAAAATACTGCCCAGCCGGAAAACGAGGTATATTTATGAAAAATGACAACGAAAGTTGGGATGTACTCGGCGACTCACGAAAGCGTTACCGTGGCCCGTGGGCAGAGATAGGAAAATACTGACCGGGTAGAGAACCAATCAGATTGCAGGATTCGTTACCGTGCCCTCTAAAAAAACAATAATTGTAGTTATTTGCCAAAAATAACCAAAAACATTTATGTGGTTATAATTGCCAGTTAATAACCAAAACACAAAACTAATTGGTTATTTCAGAAATAACCAAAATGCAAAATAGTTATTTCAAAAACAGCAAAAGAGTACATTCATGTCTTTATTTGCCAAATGACCAAATCATAAAATTGGTTATTCAAAAAATAATCAGAAACATTAATGTGTTTATTTGCCAAATGACCAAATTGCAAAATTGGTTATTTCATAAATATCCAAGAAAACAATGTGGTTATTTGCTACATAACCAATTTTGCAATTTGGTTGTTTGGCAAATGAAGACGTTAATGACCTTTTTGGTTTTTTAGCAAATACCATAACCAATTTTACAATTTGGTTGTTTGGCAAATTAAGAGATTAATGTACTTTTTGGGTATTTTTTAAATAACCAATTTTGCAGTTTGGTTAACTAGCAAATAAACACAGCAATGTTTCTGGTTGTCTTTTAAATGACCTAATTTACAATTTGGTTATTTCTCTTGTCAATTAACCTAAAAGAAAGTGAGGAAGTGAGGCTATTTGCTAAATAACTAAATCATAAAATAAATTATTTTAAAAAATAACCAAAAACCTCAGTGTGGTCAAAATGCAAAACTGCTTATTAAAATATAATAATGAAGGTTGAAGTGTTTTTGTGCCAAATAACTAAAGCACAAAATTGGTGATTTTAAAATCCTGAGAGAATTGTAGTGTCTTTTTACACCTTGTAAATATTTTTGCATGCCTGAGTTTTACATAGGGGTAGATGGGACCCTCTGATACAGATGGCTCATCTTAACCCTTTAACTCCCAAGATCTCATCAGTAATTCTCCTCACTGTCTGCCATACAGTTCTTGTGATGTTAGTTTCGAGAATTTGGTATCAAATCAACTTTTAATCCCCTAACTGGTATTTTTCTTGATTCTCATCACTTGTCTGCTTGTGATATTGTATCAATATTGTAAGGAGAAATTATGTCTTGGTCATTTGTGGGAGTTTAAGGGTTAAGACCTGATATTTCAATCTAGAGTCTAGAGTGGTAACCATTTATAAGTCAATTCTATGTTTCATCAACAGAAAATAATTTAATTTCACATCAGTTTGAACATTGCACTTTTTGTGTGGCTAGTATTGGCTTCATTTTTTTCTTCTGAGTTTAAGAAATTTTTTAAAATCCTTTGACCCATAAGGGTGACTAGCATTACACACTAAGGTCAGCAACTTAAAAAAAGCTCTTGATCATTAAATAAATTCTCCTTGCTAGCTCCATAGGAAATGTATAAAGAGCAGTATGGAGAATATGCATTCTGGTGTTAGGGTGTAAGGGGTGAACTAACATCTTGTGTATTCCTCCCCATTGCTATTATTCCTTATTTGTCTTTTCTTTGATAAACGAAGGTTTGAATTGTGAGTTAGAACATTTTGTGACTTATTATCACCTTCTGTTGCCTTTCAGCTTGGATCAGTTCCTTAGCATACTTTCTTTTACTTTTTTCCAGTCCTGTGGCTGGTCGTCTATCAGAGAAATTTAGCTGCCGCTTCGTCACCATGCTTGGGGTGCTGTCTTCAACAGTTGGACTTGTTTTAGCATCATTTGCCAAAAGTGCCTTCGTCTACTATTTGACTTACAGCTTGTTTGTTGGGTTCGGTATCTGCTGTGTTCGTGTATCAAATTTCTTAATTGTTTCAAAATATTTCTGCAAAAGGAAGCCATTTGCTACAGGGATACTAACATCTGCTGCTGGAATGGGTCTATTTGTGTTTGCACCGCTAACCGAAAGTTTACTGGATAGGTTCGGTTTAGAAAAAACTTTAAGATTCCTGGCTGGAACTGTATTTGTAACGGGGATTCCAGCACTGGCATATGATCCTAATGTGCAGGAAAATGAATCAAATAACGCAACGATACAATTGCAACAAGAGAAATTCAATGAAAGGACACAAACAAAGCTGGTGGACTGTTCTGTCTGGCGAGTGCCGACGTTTACCGTCTTTGCATTGACATTTGCGTTAGATCGCTTCGGACAGTCACCTACTCGAACTCACTTGGTAAGTGCAAAGCAGGCTCTCGTGACTCTTAGCGCTGCAGGACACGCCTTTCTGGACCTGCGGAAAGATTTTAGACGAGTTAGGGAGACCTTTGCCGGGGGTCTGGTACTAGTTATCAGTACACCCCTTGCAGATCTCTCTTGCTTGCTTGCGTTGTTCATGGCCTCATACCTTCCTACTGGCGAAGAAACGCCGCGAGTTGTACCGAAGCGTTAATATTGAGGGCCTGTTTTCAAGCTATGACCGTGAGACACTGCCTAATAAATGGATGCCTTAATTGGCACTAAACAACCTGTTTCTGCCGGTTGTTCTTGCCTTCAAATTGCAGGGATACAGTTTATATTCTTTATCAACTGTTAAAATTGGAGAAAAACTGGCGGAAGATGGTGTAAGGTCTCGAGTTACTGTTTACAACCGATCATCAGTGTACTTCGTTTACACTGTTCGCCATTCATTTCCTATGGCAGTGTTAAAGAGAATTTGTTTAAAAGTCAAAAGTACCTCAAGTCAGCGATCATTTTCTTCATTCTCACGACCTTAATATTTTATTAAGCAGGGTTGCTGCGAGGAGCAGTTAGTTTCACTCTTCAGCAGGGGTTAATTACCGTTAAATAGTTAAGTTTGTTTTGAAGATCTCTCATGTTCCATGTTATCTTAGGTGCTTCATGGACGATCCACTGTAAATTCTCCGAGTTTTTCTTGATTTTCCAAGCTTCATGCTATTTAATTGAACAAAGAAACTAGGATCGCAAAATCCTACGCTACTTTTTCTTTTTTCTCCTCAGGTGAAATACGCAGAAGAACAAGGGCTCCCAGCAGACAGTTCGTCAAGGTTATTGATGTACTTTGGTTTAGCCTCGTGTATTGCAAGACTGGTAGCAGGTTGTGTTTGTGATCTAACGCGAGTCAACCCTCGCTATATTTTTCAAGTGGGCAGCCTTATCACCGCGGTATCTGTTATTCTTCTTCCTTTGGCGAATAGTCAAACTCGTTTCATTTTATGTAGTGTCTCTTTTGGCGTTGGAAATGGTATAACTTTAACTTCAATGAATGTCGTACTTTTGAACTGCGTGGAAGCAAAGAGGAGAGCCTCAGCCTTTGGCCTGGCGAACTTTTTGAGCTCTTTCTCCGTTCTTTCTTCTCCTCCTTTGATTGGTAAGTTTTGTCAAGTATTTGCTCAACAAAGATTTGTTGACAAAGTTGATCGCTAGGACTTTAATAGATTAAAACTGACATATTTTTTAGAATATTTTTTGTGACGTGTCGATGCTGTTTCACGTCGTTATCTATCATCCCAAAGAATGACTTGCATCCTAACTCTACATACAGTATCAAAAAAAAAAGAAAAACTAAATGAATTGATCACAAAATTAAAAAAAGCTCTTGATTTTCAAACAAATTCTCCTTGTCAGCATCGTAGCAAATGTTTATATAGCAGTATGGAGAATATGCCTACTGATATTGGGGCATTAAGGATGAGCAAGTAGGTACTTCGATAAGTTGTTGTTACGCCGGTTTGTAACAGTCACTTAAAAGGTCTTATTTAGCACTAGTCTCATCCGTACGACCACACCCCATACTGTGGATGGCTACTCCTAAAGAAAATCAGGAACGAGTGAATAAAGTGGGCAAGGCTCTATAGAAACCGTGGTGCTGCGTCGGTGGGAGAGTATAACAGGATAATTTGGTATTATCAACTTAGTTGATAACGTAATTGGGCCACCTTAGTGAGTTTCAAAGCTGACGTCGCGCGCGTTAGCCCTTCGTCGTCGCTCTGACGTTGGGCTAACGCCCGAAACGCCCGGTGGCCAGTTTACGTTATCAACTCAGTTGATAATACCAATTAACCTTGAAATAAAGAACGAGGTTTGACTTTTTTGCCTTGTTCGTAGTATAGACTTAACCATCTAACCCGAAGATAAGTTGATGTGAGTCGAGTAGCATTTCACTTTTTTTTTTTTCTCGCAGGTTTCATTGCTGATGAGTTTCATTCTTACAAGCCTGCGTTTTATTTGGTCGGCAGTGTTTTACTGGCCAGTACCGCTCTTCCATTTGTCATCTTTTGCGTAAAAGTGAACCGACGCGATGAAAGGGAACCTCAAACGCTGATAATGCCCGTGGAAAACCATGGTCAAATTCAGTACGTCTCTTCCTGTTAGAAATACGTACAAAGTAAATAAACTAAACCCCTTCACCACGAGCGACCTCGAAGGAATTATTATTATTATTATATGGGTTCATCTATTATTGGAAGAATGATTATTGCAGTTTGTCAAAAAATGTGCAACGGATTTAAATAAGAAATTAAAAGATTTTTATTGTGATAAAAGAGGACCCTAATCACAGGGAGCAGAGGAGTTTCATTTGTCTTTACTTCCAGCCAATTCTATTTTTTATTAGTCCTAGTCACTTCGGAGTACCATGAAAAGCGCGGTTTGCATTTTCACTGCAAGTACTTCAGCTTTTGTAACTGATAGACTTTTGAGGCTAAGCAACCTTTGATAGGTACTCTTTCTCAGAGAACCGATATAGTTGTGTATATTTTCGCCAGCGTAGAAGGTCACGATGGCTTGTGAAGTGAATCTATTAGGCACAGAATATGCAAGGCAACGTGGCTTACTCCTTAGCCAAATTGTCGATACTCCGCGGAATTCACCGGCCACTATATTTGCCTGCTGTGACCTGATATTTTACATTAGTATGATTTCGCAACTTAGATAATATTTCGAAAAGCATTAAGTCAAAGGGCTAGACATTCAGTTGAAATGTTGCGTGCGTCTGCTCTGGTCCTCACGTTTAACCATCAAACTGTGAAAGTTAAACCGAAATTGATCCCACACATGAATTTAACCCTTTCACTCGTAAAAACTTATTTGTAATTCTCCTTACTGTCTGCTATACAATTCCTGAGATTTCAGCTCGGAGAATTTGGTATCAAATCAACTAATGATTCCCTCAATTTATAATTTTCTTTATTCTCATCACCTGTCCGCTTATTATGGTATTGGTGTCGTAAGGACACACTTTGTTTTGGTTACTGGGAGTTAAAACTCAGTCGCTCTCGATCAATCACATAAAATAGAGGAAGTATTTCTGTGGTGAAAGCAGCCGTCTATGTAGATAATTTATAATTTGCATAACGTTCGAGGAAAAAAACACACACACACACACACGTTTCGAAAAACTGCAATTGGAGCAAGAAATCAAAATAGCTTGATTAAAGCGCCTTAATAAAGGGGTTATTCACATAAAAATGTTAGAAAAAAATTCCAGGATTGATGGTATTTACTGTTGAAAATTACAATTCATCAAATTTTTTTAACAATATTTACAAATGAATGCAGAAATATCTTTTTTATTGATCACTCGCGATTAGGCATTCGATTTTGCATTTCGTGACAATGACCTATGAAGACAAGGAAACTGGCACGAACTCCTTAATAACCGTGAGGTCCTAACGGCTGCAATTTCAAAACGGCTTAGGTTTTTTGCCATCAACAGGAACTCTCTTTTTTTTCAAAACAGCACGGACCAACTGAGAAATGTTCGCTCTGACGAAGGACTTAGCGTTCGAAACGTCAGGTTTAGAAACTCTACGGTGGCTAATTTACATTATCAACTTATTTAATAAGACCGAATCAACTGGGAAATAGGGAAATGTTGAATGACGTTAGCTGACGTTTCGCTCTGACGAAGGGCTAACGCTCGAAATGTCAGCTTTTAAACTCTCTACGGTGGCCAATTTACGTTATCAACTCAGTTGATAATACTAAATTACCATGTTATACTTTCCCACCGACACAGCACCGCAGTTTCTGTAGAAACATACCCCCATTATTATCAAGGAAATACTCTTATTTGAATAACTGTTTGAGACTTACCACCATCAATCCCTAACCCTCACCCCTTTTTAAGATGCCAGTGAATTTCTCCTAACAGTTTCGTTACATTGTGCGGCAAAAATGTGTTGATGATATAAGACCTTATCAGCTGTGAAGTGTTTTATTTATAAAAACACAAATTATGTAACTTGTTTGGAGAGAAACGTAAGGCAGCGACCAACTATTATTTTTGCCAACTCGATCTTTCTACAAGCGATAGAAGTGTCAAGTTTTTCCAGTTATATCGAAATTGTTTTAAGATTAATTCGTCAAAACTGTAGCAAGAGAGTCACAAAGACCGCCTTCAAAAAAATTGCAGTTCTTTCTAACCATTGCTTTCGTTTTTTATTTTAATTGACTACACTCGTGTTTGATTGTAAACAAATCAAGGCAGCTGTCATGGGGAAAAAAATGATACATCTTGGATTTAAGCTCTTTCTGAGTTTGAATTTGATCTCTTGCTCTCGTATCTTTTTTCACTAGTTTCTTCGCCGACTTGATTTCCGAGATTTCAAAAACCTCCCGCTGATAAGTTTTTATACTCCCTTTACTTTGCTGGATGGTCTATTGATAATGTTATGAGAATTTCCGTGTTAATCGCTTCTGTGGATATGACTTTTAGTACCGTGAACCTTGGCATCACTACAGGCAATGCATAATCAAGGCTGAAATGAATGAATCAGTTACACTGACGAATTAGATGACTTTGGTTATACTCCTTCTTAAAGCGTTCCCGAAATATTTCGCTATCAGTTTATTGAAGAATCTCTGGGTTGTCGTTCGCTTTCAGATTTAGCAGATGACGCTGAGCAAACATAGATGCAATCGCCACAAGACACAAACTTAATGATTGAAAATATTTAATTGAAGTTACTTTTTCGTGGGCCTGCGGGGCGAGTGGTTTATCATTTTGGCATTTCCGTATGATTGTTTCACTGGATTTGTATAATCGTAGTGTTGTGCGGATTACAATTGCTGCAATTAGTTTGATTGCATCCTAACAGCTGGCATGCGAGACTGCGTGGGATCAGTCGGGGTTTCTGAAGGAGAACGCAAATGTTTTCGTGCAAACCAGTAGTTCTGTTGCGTCGACCATCGGTACCGATGAAATCACCATAAGATATTGCTATACTCGGGAAATGAATATGAAGGACGTACGTTGACACATGTTTTATTCCAAGTACTTAGCTCTCGAATGATTTCCTTCATCCCAGCCCCGCTCAGCTCCACTCCCCCAACCTCTCCTCTGTTCATTGTAGACTTCTTTTCACCTGCACTTCATTCGCAAATTGGCATAACAACAGATGTGTAAATGTTATAAAGGAAACTATGATACTACGTTAACGTTTAGCCTATGACGACTCAGAACGCAATTTGTCTGGACGCGCCAACCGACGGTAATTATGTGGATACAAAAGTAGAGACGTCAATCATGGTTTATCATGAGATCTTTCAGTGACCATTTAAGTTTGTGATTCTTATCTTCTATTTCATCCCTTGATTCACTGTGCTATGACGGGCTCTAACAGTACAACCCTCTCGCGCATCTCCGAAAGTCAGGGGCCGACAGAATATTTCTGCTCAAGAAAACAAGGTGACACTTGGATTTTAACGGACACGACAACATTCACAGCTTCTATAGTAACCTCCGCGGTTGCCTGCCCACTTACAGTTCTCCTGAACATTTTAGTGATCTTTGCAGTGAAGACAAGGAGAGAGCTGCAGAAAAACTCGAATATTTTGTTGGTCAGTCTAGCTGTGTCAGATTTGCTTGTAGGCGCCATTTCCATGCCCCTGTCAATCACTCGAGATGCGTTCCTTCTCAAGAGGAAGTTTGGTGTAACCGGCGTATCTATTTGCCGTATAGCGCTGGCAAATGACCTGGTGTTGTGTACTTCTGCTTGTTGTTCTCTGTACCATATGACTGGAATTGCTTGGGAGAGGCAAAGGGCGGTGAGAAAGTGGTGGAATTACAAACTGATTGTCACCAAAAAACGTGTTGTTTGCTGCGTGGTTATCTCGTGGCTGCTGTCCTTTCTGAAAACTGTTCTCGCGCGTGGATTAATAAGGGCAGGTGTGAACTACAGGTATGTTAAAATCGTGCAATTTATCGTCTCCTTAAACGTTCCGTTCGGCTTAGCACTGATTGGGTATTTTTATCTCATGGCTAACATCGCTGTACGCAGACGAAAACTAAATAACATGCGTGGAATAGCTTCACAAGCCAGACAAAGGATGGAGAGAAACATTGCCAAAACCACAGCCATACTAACATTCGTCTTATTAATCTCTTACCTTCCATCTGTGGTCGTCGTTTTCGCAAGCACTAAAATGCCCATCCTTCGGGAAATTTCAGTTTTCCGTTGGACCGAGTTACTGACCCAGCTTAATTCTCTGGCTAATCCACTCCTCTACTGCCTTATATTCAACCGGCATTTCAAAATCGAAGTTGTGAAGACGCTGAAGGGAGAGTACGAAGACCTCAGACAGTTTCAGCTTTCCTTTAGAAGGAGTAGTCGTAGCAGGCGTCCTGAAGTTTTACACAATTTTCAAGATTTTAAAGGAGAAAAAATACAAGAAGACCACCCGGAAAAGTTTGAATCCTGCGATGCTTTCTTAGCTAATTATGCACGTTGCCAAGAACCTCGGATAATCATGAAGGAGGTATATGCAAACTCCTCTGACTCCGCGTCCTCTGATGCAATAAAGCTCTTCATCTGTGTTGATATTCACCAGCCTAAGCCTATCAGATGGAAATTGCCAAAGGGAGCTGCTGCGAAATATGATCAATCTCAGTGTTCCTTGAAGGACACCTGCAGCGTGCCTTGCGATGGAAAAACTATTCGTTTGATGTCGAAGAAGAGAAATCAGGAAGACGTGCAAGTTCCCGAACAGGAATATCGCACCAAGCGAAGTAACGAGAGTGAAGATACAAATGATTTCAAGGAACTATCAGAAGGAACAGAGGACTACCGGGGAAAGACCAGCGCCAGTGGTGTTTTTATGATACACGATGATGATAGCCCCCACGAACCGATATTTTGTCCCTTATTTTCTACAACAGAGGCTTATCAAGGGTGGGAAAATCACATTAAAGCGCGGGATGGAATAATACTAACCTTTCAGAAACTGAAATGCGATACTTGCCAAATATGAAAAAGATATAGGGAAGACAGTTCGTTTTTAAGGTCAATTACCCGAAAACTGCCAGGGCACATCATGTTAATTTTCTAATTAAGTTTTTTATTTCGCTCTTTTGTTTTCCTGGCTTGCTGCCCTCATTAATTCCGCCTCCAGGACTGCCATCTTAGAATCGTCTTGAATTCTTTATTAGGGACGTTAAGCAAACCACGATGGCGACGGCAACGGCAACGAGGACATGGAAAAACAAAAGATCTAATTGGCAGAACAATAGCATAGCACGTGCGTTTTAAGACTTTGTACCTTTCTTAGCCGTCCTATGCAAAACAACAACGTGAAATCACCACAATTTGCGTCGTTTGCGAACCGAAACCGCGACGGCAAATTACTTCAATTTCCATTTGGAACTCAACGCTTCGTTTATACGTTATGCTGAAGCTTAGGTGTGGCGCCGTTTGAGACGGTAAACAAATACAACCACTTTTGAAATTCTAATTAAAGGCAGAAATTCATTTTTTAATCAAATTCTTCCTTGGCGTTGCCGCCCTGACTGCTTAAGGTCCCTATTATTATTGTTTCTTGTGATGTGATGCGCATGAACTGTTCACATAACTTGTTTTCATTATGGGCGTGAGTCAAATCGACGGTTTTAGATCTCAATAGGTGAGTTGCGGTAAGGAATTGGACTCACAGTCTCCTGAAGACAAAAACAAAAGCAGCCTGATAAGAGCAGTCTGAAATTAAAAACATAATAAGAAAAAAGCAAGGGGAATAAAAAAGTGGCTCGGGTCTTTACGCAAGTTGGTCGATTTTTAATTGTGCTCCGCAAAGTATTTCAGTTTTACGAAGAGTCAGGCTTTGTCTGTCATAAACGTCCTTTCAAAAATCGCCCACAAGTCCTGCTGATCAGTAAATCAGCATGCAACTCGCTAAATTACTGCACATCGGTGTTAACAAACAAATAACCTACATTGAATCAATCGAAGGAAATAATTTGAGTCTGGAATACTTATTTCTTGATATCAGTCCAATTTGGTGACTTTTGGGCTGGGTATCAGTTTCTGAAAGCGAAAAAGGTAGCGTTGAAATCTAACGAAGGATTGTGTCTCTAACTTTCTAAAGTTGTTTCGCGATAGCGCAAGTCCGTAAAGTTTCGTATGAAGATCATAGATACCCAAAACCTTGAGATTTATCCTCCCTTGCCAATGCAAGCTCAGTCAGCTACGTACGTATTTTACTGTACTATGTAATATATCAGTATAAGTATTATGACCTGAAAATAATCATTTGAAGATAAGGACACATTTCAAAAACTGCAAAAACTGTACGAGTTCTTAAAGTCGATCCGTCTCACCGGAAGTCGATCCGCAGAAGAGAACAAAACGCAATTTGCGTTAATTGGGGGTAATAGATGTGAACGAATCGACACGATTTGCACGGGTCGATTCGATGCGTCTTTAGTTAAGTCGACTCGTCTAACTGAAGGTCGATTCGCAGAAAAACACAATACACCCTTAGAGGTTAAATGTTCGGGTCTACTCGACGTAATCAAATGCAAAGCCAGCAAGATTGACATGCTTGTAACTATGTACATTAGAGTATTTACTGAACCGCATATTAAATCTTTACTATTTTCCAAAATTAAAGAATTTTCGCTTTTTCATCTGATAATAGTCAGTTATTTAGTTCAAAATGACTAAAATGAAACACGCATGATTCCCTGTAGGGGAACAGGGAATCATGCGTGTTTCATTTTAGTCATTTTGAACTGTCTTCCGCTCTACACTCATGTGTATTGAGTACTTTCCAACAGCATTTGCTACAATTTCCCACAATTAATCAGTTATTTATAACTTTTAGCTTTTTTGCTTTAACTTCACAATGTGCGTTTCTCTTGTAACACAAAGGTTTTTCCCCATCGAAGATGACGATTAGGCAAAAGTATCAGCGACTGTTTTTGCATCAACTTTCAGAAGGCCTTTACTTGTGCAAAATTGTCCAGAATTGAGTTCCATCCGAAAATTTTAGCACCTTAATTGGTTTGTTTCGTCTTCCAGGTCTTTCATCAATTCAGAGGCAGTTCCTCCCCGCAGCACTAAGTTGAAATGGGTTAACAGCTTTCAAAGTTATCACTGAGGCTGTCAGTAGCATTAAACTTCGTCACTCTCTTTTGTCGCCCTTATTTCTTCCCGCTGATTTGCGTTCCCTCTTAGGCACAGCAAGATAAATGGAATACAAAAAAATATCATACCCATGGAACCAGCAATGTAGAATGCCAACTCATAAGAGCCCGCTTTGTCCGCGATGAAGCCTGCCAATTAAAAAGGGGAGCCACTATCAGTACAAGATGACAGTTTAAGTCATCTCAGTAGAAAATACCCATTCTCACTAGGATTAAGGATGAAAGGAGGTGACAATTTGTCGGCTGTAATGAGTGATTTCAATAAACTTTAGTTGGCATAGAATGATTGATGAGACCGATCAAATCTTCCTTTGTCTCAAGCGAAAAGCAGAAGTGTTTTGTTGGTACAGGAGGAAAAACTAAGTATAACATTCCTTGGCTGTACGAAATTGAATGAGCCGGCAAACTCAAGAAGAACCGTGTGGAAGGAATTCTTTGCTATTCACGTTCCTTAGAAGGTCGGCTCTTCGAAGTACAATGAAACCACTGACTGAACTTGTGAGTTGGAAGTCCAGCTTAACCCAATATTTTTGTAAACTATACAAAACTAATAAAGAATAAGGGGACCGGGGGGGGGGGGGTTAATTTTCTAGAGAGACTGCGGTGCTGCGTCGGTGAGGAAGTCTAACAAAATAATTTGGTTTTATCAACTGAGTTGATAATGTAAATTGGCCTCCGTATAGAGTTTCTAAAGCCGACGTTTCGAATGGTAGCCCTTTGTCAGCGCACTTACTAAAAACTAATTATGGTTTCGCTTTCTGACATTGTGGTTCTACAGACAAGGTGTCATCTTGAAATAAGGCCACCTAAATCGAAAAAAAAGAACATGGGGCTTTTTCCTCCTAATCAGACTCGTGTCACGCCCGAGCACGGTTAAGGTTAATGAATTTTCGGGACAAACAAAACATAATCATTTATAAAACTATTGTAGAGCTACATGAGTAACCAAAACCACGAGAATTTCACTTCACAACTGAAAATATCATTTTACTAACCAGCTAGTGGCGCACCAACTGTCGTGGAAATCGAGATGAACATGTTACCCAATCCAAATGCGGAAGCTCGTCTTTCAGGCTCCACTGCGGTCAGCAGCAGAAGATTGGTTAATGAAAGACATATTCCATCTCCGATCCCATAGAACACGCTAACAACACAGAGAGGGAGATAGGCAGAGACTACACCGAATGATATCACCGCCACAGCAATGGTAAATAGTCCAATTTGGTAAACATAAATCGGGTTTATCCATTTGATGTCACACAATCTACCGGAGGCTATCCGCATAACGCAAGAGCTAAGGCCATAGATCATCAGCAGCTTGGAGGACTTATCTTCAGGGATACCCAAGTCTTTGCAGTACCGAACCTGTGGTATGTTGAAGTAAATAATTAAGAGGACACCTTTGTAATCCGTAAATGAAGTTATCAATTATCACTAACGCTGTTGGCTGTTGAAGACATCAGTCCATAGTCCGATTCATAGGTCAGTTCAGGATCCAGTCCAGTTTATCTTGCCAGCAGATCAAAATGTATCCCTCTCTGGATACACTTTTACTTATCAAAGGCCATGTGACCTATAAGAGGCCAGTAAAATTCGAATCTAGAACACAGAAAACCGCTGGTGTTTCGGGAAGGAGATCGAGTCAATAAAGAAAGTACGGTGACAATCTGACACGAAATGTACAGTATATGTTACCACTTACCAAGTGAAACTGGGGTGTATTTAGTACAATGGATATTCCTGTAAAACTCAAAGTTACAATGGCAAAAGTAGGTACTTTCCAGACTGAGAAATCGATAAGTTTTTGCTGGTTTCTCTGCGGTTCCTCGGTACCTTTCTTTGTGTTTTCTTGCACCACTGATGCTACTTCTTCCTCTACATTAGGATCAAAACTCAACGCAAGGAGACAGTTCGCCAAAACTACACCACCAAGAACCCTGTATGCTCCGCTGAGGCCAAGGTTATCGATCAGAATTTGAGCAATCGGCACTAAAGCGAAAATCCCCAAACCAGTCCCCGCTGTGACCAGCCCGGTCGCAAACGACCTTCGCTTGACAAAATACTTGGCTGTTATTAGGAAGTTCACTGTCCGGCAGCAGCAAGCCCCGAGCCCGAACATCACGCTATGAGTGAGAAAGAACAGCTCAACTCTTCTTGCCAAGGAAGTTAGGATGAGCCCCAGGGAACAGAATACAGTGCCGATTATCGCCACGTAACGCGAGCCTAAGCGGTCACACAATCGACCAGCCACAGGAGACAGGCAAAAGCTCATTCCAAAGGCTATTGAGCCAATCCAGGCTGTGGATAAATCAAGAGAGATAACACTTCACACCTTTTGGTAATACTTCATTAATCAACAACAGATTGTTAAAACAAAGGAACAATAAACTAGTCATCTCCTTCACAGCCGCTGTTTGCCTGGGGAAAGAGCGCATTGCGAAGGAAACTTGAGAGAAAGGGCCCATTGCGAAGGAACATGATCCGATATAAACCTTATTTTCACAAATAAAACTTGAACGATATGCGTTTTAGCGAGTTATCCATTTCTAGGTTTACTACATAAGAGAAGCCTAAGGCTGCACAAGCCAAAAATCCAAGCTCAAAATGACCGGGCGGCCACAGATTCCAGCGCAGAATCCAAGCTCATTTACTGTAGTCGATAGGCCGACGCGACTCTTGCTGTTTTGGTGGTTAGGTTACTTCGAAGTAAGTGACCTTTCGACCTTTGCTCTGATGAGCATGTCTTTAAAAATTATTTTGAAACTGTGGGAAGCTTTTTATAAATCTTGTGAGGCTTAGGCTGCCTCTAAACAATTTGCCAGTTGCTTACTTGTAATAGGATCTTTTTAAGGATGGTCATTGATGGGTTATGTTGATAATATGGCTCGTTGCACTTTGTTTTTCTCCTGGAGTGTTGTTTTCCTGATGTAAATGGCTTCATAACATCAGCGTATCTCTGTCGCTTAGTCTTAGTCCAGACGTTGCGGCTGTTTAAGGTCACCCTGACGCCCACCCTATCACAGGCGGCCAAAGTTCCAGCTGTGAGATGATCATCTTGCAAAATAAGAGTCATGGCGCAAGCATAGGAGTTTGTATGGGAATATTAACGACCGCTCTTAGGAAAAAAAAAAAATACGGTCAAATTCTTAATGAAAATACCTCAAATTACTTCCACAGTGTATCGCTTATTATCTGACCGCTAACTATGTTGAAAAGAACCCTTTTAAGCGTGTTATCCATTTCTAGGTTTATTACGTAAGAGAAGCGTCCCTTACGTAGTAAACCTAGAAATGCATAACGATAAATGGAGAATTTGTCATTTTTTATTACTAAGAGCGGTCGTAAATATCCCCATACAAACTCTTATAATTTCGCAAGATGATAATCTCACAGCTGGAGCTTGGGCGGCCGGTGCTCAAACAAACTGGACAGCTAACGACATGATTGTTGCACATTACGAGCAAATATAATTTTTTAGGGTTATTCATGAGGATAAAATAGGGCGAGGAAACATCTCACTCACTTACGCAATCTGATTTTTAAATACTCTTAAACTCATTGAAAGCACTCGTATAAGAAATAATTTTGCAAACAGACTCACCGGTGAATTCTCGGCTAGTATGAAAGTCGTCCATAATGGCTGGCAAGAACACACCAAACCCTTGGCAAATACCCATCACAAGGACTTGAGATAAGGAAGCACATAAACAGACAAAATTAGACCAAAGACTGTCCTTTTTTCGAGGGCTTTCCGGCCCGCAAGTAAACCTCATTACCTTGGCCTGCGAGAAATGTCACGTAATGAATTTGCAAGCGCAGAGCTTCTTCGCTTTCTGGCTGCGCGAAGAGTGGGGCGAGAGCGAAAAGGTCGAATGTTGCTCTCGCGCAACGAGAATGCGCAAAGCTCATCGTTCGTAGGAGACTACGTTAATCAATGAAAACAAGAGAATACCAACAGTTTCTAATATCTTAGTGAAACTAAACTGATATTTGGCGCACGAAAAGTACTATTTTTTACTAGTATTCTTTGGGACATTGGTTACGACATATTCGTCCTCGAGTAATAAGAAGTTTGTTTGAAAAAATCCACTTTCCAATTTTTTTAATTTTTTTGTTGAAAACGAGCGGGTGCATCTACTCACTTGTAAGAGAATAAAAACTTATAATCTCTTGCTTCTACCGTAGAACCTTGATCAACGAACCTCTATATAACGAAGTTTCCAGTAAAACGAACGATCTCTTTATCTTCGACCAAAGTTACAATAAAATATATGGGACAAAACCTCGATATAACGAGATCCTCGTTAACACGAACACAATCCCGAATCCCAAACGTACAATATACTATACTTATATAGACACTAAACATAAATGTTCTTTAAAGTGATCGTTTCGATCCCAAACTGCTGGGTGGCGCGATGTCACACTACCATTTGCGTTTTTCCACAAATTCGTTGAATCGAGGTTTACGATGAAACGAACCCTTGATATAACGAACCAATTTCCGCAGTCCCGTGGTGTGTACCTCGTTAAATCGAGGTTCCACTGTAGTTAATGCTTCTTGACGAAGATTTAGTTCTTTTCTTTCTTATTACATTCACTGTAACAAAACGAAAATGCTAAAAACACGTCCATTTATTTATTTATTTTTTTAAAATTTAAATCCGAGTTAGAGTTCTAAAAGTTCACGATGAGTGATAATCAGATGAGCAGGTTTCTTTCATTTTTTGTTAGGGAACCTGAAATATTATGACAGTGCAGTGATATGCGGCTAGAAAACTGTTTTAAGAAGACGAACCTACAAGTGTAAAATATCTACATCTTTATAAGCCTACAGACAACTTCATCTCAAGTTAGTGTTTTGTATTCACTTTTTGACAAAGTTTTAACTATTTCGGCGATTTCTAGAATTGATACCCCAAGATTTTTTTAAAAACAAAGATCAATAAACAAAAGCACCAAAGTCGAAAATTTGATGACCCCCTCCCCTCCCCCCCCCCCAAAGAAAAAATAAACTATCATGCGTTAAGAAATTAGCTTATTTTAAATGAAACAGGTTTTAGGTGAAATTGTACTATGTTGAGTAGTTTGAGATTTATCAGCTTGGAAAAGTAGCAGATTGTCGCTAAACATTAATTGTCATTTAAACCCCTAAATATAAAACAGGAACATCACTTCTCTGATGCACGAAAACCTTTTGTTATTTAATATACAGTCCACATAAATCATCTCAGCACTTTCGAACACTTCTATATATATTTATAATAAAGTTCGGATATAACGCGTGCTGTCATTGGTTGAAAGAGCGTGCTCTATGAGAGTATAGAGCATAGAGCTGAGCTAAAGCTGTCACGCCATCTGTCAAATTGTACTATGTTCGACCTTTTCCGGGACTTCTTTTTAGCTTTTTTTTCCGATAACTGAAAGTGAAATTTCGGAACTGAAGCGAGCCGGCAAGTAGCAACAGAAGAACCAAACAAAGGTTTGTAAACATACCAGGCGCCGTAATTTACGTGATTAAAACGTAAGCAGATACGAAAATCCAAAAGGAAAAACAAAATAGACATTCCGAGTTTTAAAGATTTTCACGCTCAGTTAGATTGCAAGCTTACGTACGGTAATAAAAATCAAACACAGCTAACACTCGTATAGTATATAAAGTTCAGTGTTCAAAAACAAAACAGAACAAAACAGAAATGAGGAAAAATATAATCAAACTGGCATAACTGTTAAAAATTCATACTAATCATGACGGTGTCTGAGCGAATATGATCATGCTGAAGTTCACCGCGGCTCGCTCATCATGGCGATCTCCGGTCATCACGGTAAAGCAAGCCTCAGAAACTACATCGGCCGGCCTTCGAGTGAAAAAATAAGAGCTTGCTCTGATATCCTTTCCGATGCGTTGAGTGGAAAGTCACATCAGTCACTGCAACCGAGTTTTGCGGCGCTGCCATCCCGAGCGATCTTCATGTTCCGGTGAATTCGGCTGTCGTTCATTCAAAAAACACTCGCCTTGAACAGTTTGTTTTCTACCTTGTCACGCGAAAAAACTCACGTGTTTTTATGAGCCATAATTCGGCTGAAGTTCACTGAACATTTCACTTCAAGATTCTGTATTAGAGACTTAAAAACTTCAAGCAAAAGTGTTAAATTCGACTTGCCGAACTATTTTAGTTTGTAAACTATCGTAGAATGTGAACTTTGATGGTTTTGAACTTTGATGGTTTGACACTTTTGACAGCTTTAGTCTTGTACAGCCAATCAGAGTATTTGAAGCATTCTAACAGGGATTCTGATTGGCTTATTGTAGCGTGCTTTATGAGAGTATAGAGCATGCTGACGACACTGTTGTTCGCTTTGGAAATAAAGTTTGTTTTGGAAATTGAAAGTAATGCTTGGGTACTTTAACGGAAGAAGTGGGAAGAAACACTCGACTACGTCTCGTGTTTCTCCCTACACTTCTTTCGTGCTCTAGCCGCTTCCTGCGTGCTTTATAACAGAACAGAGCACAGTCAAGGCTTCTCTATATGTTAAATAAAAGAGAACTTATTTTCGCTTATCGACTCGTACAAGTGGCATCTTCAAAATACCCTCAGAAAGAAATCCCAAGTTAAGTGCTGTTGTAATTTCTTGAAAATATTTTGAACAGTAGCTATGCCAACATTCAAGTCGTCAAATAATGATTTTTCATGGGTTTGGAACAAAGAACGGTTGAAATTGATCAATTAATTTTCATGCCTAATGGCTGAATTTCTTTGCCGTTTTCGGCTGATGGTTAATCCAATTAAGACACTATACCACGACGGACCATAAACTACCCATATGTGAGCTTGGTTGTATAAAAGACTTCTATGTAATGTTTATTTCAAGGAGTATATCTCAGTTAAGGATAACACATATTAATGAATAAATTTTCCTTCGAAAACAAAAGAAAGTGATATGATTTTTACCGCCACGTGCGCGCTTACCATTGAATGAGTTTCCCCACTGAAAATGCCCAACTTTGTCTAACTTAATGATCTAACATTTCGGATACAACTTTTACTTTCAAGATGAGTCAGAGCTTGAAATCTAGAAAATTATATATATTAAAAAAAAACCGCATTCAGAGTCTCATTCCTAAGAGTGCTAATCTTTCCTCTGCGTCGTGGTAACAACGTAGTGAAGAGTGCCTCCGTTCTTTTTTGACGCCTTGTCACTATGGAAACGAATACAACCGCTTATGTAAAGCTCGATTATGTAAAATTTGAGTCCGATCATAAACTTTCCTTTATCCAATTTTAACTTATTGTCTTACTTACTTCCTGTTTCCCACGTGGCATTCTACCAAACCTTAACCTAATCGTTTTATTTTTTTGTCAGTAGTGTTCATTTACACAACGTCAGCAAAATATATTTAAGAAATAACTTCTCTTTGTGAAGGTAGATAATAATGTTAAGCTGATAATTTCTTTATGCTGGAGTGCTTATTTCCGGCTATCAGTGAAACTTAAAAGTGCAAACGTATTTTGAACCAGCCTTTCCATTCATTGCCGTTAATTTCTAAAGCGGATGTGCTTCATCTTTGATCTCAAAAGCGGCTCGATGTTTTTCCGCTCGGCGTGTTTCAACTGCTTCCAAGGTAACGCTTATCGAAGTTTACAGTCAGCATTAATTGTTATTAACATTTTAACACATCTTCAGTAACAGTTAAATACCAAACAATTAAAATTGTGCGTGATATCTAAATTTAGTTTATATTTCAAATTGCCTTTGTTGCAATTTATACTGTTCAATGGAACAAAAGAAATTTGAAATGACTGTTTTAAATTCTGTTTCTTTCTGAACAGAATATTATTGGAGAAATCAGGAAACAAGGAGTGCCTGTACCGTCATTGATAATTGTAAGATAGGATTAAAAATACGTAAAAGTTAGTTGCCAGGAGGTTAGCACAAAGTTTTCAAAGGGAAGTGGAAAGACAAATTATACTGAGTTCCTGTTTATTTTACCATTTTATCGACAAAAAAAATTTCTTTCTGAAAAACTTAACAAAAGGGGTAACCATATCTGTTTGCCTGTACACTTAATTTTAAATTGCTCCAAGGTGCCTAAAACTCATTGTTGAATTTTTTCTCCATTTACGCAGCTGAACATGTGCAGAAGAAAGAAATGCATAAAATGGCTTGAGGGCTTAATCAAAATCGCAATTGTAGCAAAGTAACATCAGTCTAAGATGAAAGTCGTTCTGATGATCGGTTTTCTTCTTGGCTTTTCCTCAGCAAACCCGAATCCAAGTGGGCGGTCTCTGTCATGTTCTGGTGATAAAACACTCTTGATGTCTATTCCGTCCTTCCAAATATTTAATTATTTACTAAAATTGTGACACGTTCTTTGAGGTTAAAATTTCTTGTTTGATATTCCTCCTTTTTCTTTCCTTTCAGGTTTTCCAAAGCAGTTATCGGGAAGATTGTACATGGTATGTTCCAACATCATGGAGAAAATGAATTAGTTGTAGTGACCGGAGTTTTCCATCAGTACTTGAAATATGTTATACAACAGAATCACCTGAGAGTTGTTCTGTTTCGTCAACATCTAAATCTTTATAAAGAGTCACTCATATTAAAATAAAAGTGCTCGTCCATTTGGCTATTCGTTTTAAAGCTTATTATAATCATCATCATCAAGAATTTTGTTATTTCAGGTCAAGGTGGATGATTCAGGTTCAACTGAAGCACACGGCATGACATTCTCCATAGATATGAATCTTGAACGAATGCAGAAAAAGATGGGCGATAAAATTTTGATAATGGACTATAAAGAGGTAATACTAACTCACCCTTTTTGTTTTAATATTGAAAATATTTTCATGACACATGTTTCATTTGACTCACAGCGGCTAAACGAAACAAAGGAAAATATTATAAGAGGTTCTCAATGGGGTTAACCGATAACCGTTAAACGGCCAAAAAATGTAGTCTTTAGGCTTAAAATTTAAAAAATTTAACCTTTAGTCGTGAATAAAGTTAACCGTAAAAAATATGTCTGGTGGAAACAATGGAAAGATGTTAACCATTAGCCGAAAACAGGCCAAAATTTTAACCGTTAGCCGTAAAAGCCATCACCCTATTGAGACCCTCTTCTTAGGAATGATTCGCTAACAAGCAAACTACCTGACACCTGAGATAAAACGTACACGGTTAACAAAGTCGTGATGGTTTCTTTTGGTCATCTGGAAAATAAATACCGGTAAATGGCAGCAGTTTCTGACCCAATCCCTTAAATTTAAATCAAATCCAAGCGATGTCTTTTCAATTTCGCTATCGAGTTGGAAATTTTAAAGTGATAATTTGAATAAGACCTAATGATTTGGTTGTCTAAGTATTAACCCAACAAACTTCCGCTGTAGTTTATTTAAAATCTTTTTATCTACAAAACGGATTTCTCAATAGGGTAAGATCTATGAAATAAGCCCAGACGGATGCCAAATTGATTCAAGTGAGGAGAAGAGTATTCCTGAATTTCTGGAAGACTTGCCGCTGAGTTTAGTCGCCAAAGGTTCACTCGGATCAAAAGGAGCCTTAGTGGAACTTTATTCTTTTCAAGATGGTGAAGGTAAGTGTGGCAACGCTTATTGCTTTATGCAAGCCTGACACTCCGACTACGCAACTCATAAATTTGCGATTAGGTATTCAAATGTCCTATCAAATGAACTACAGAGAGGTCCTTAGGAATTCCTTGGTCTCTCTGTTGACCTTCGTATCTGTCCAGAATAAAGTCAATATCAGCTATGTTGGTGTCCTGATTGGAGATTAGCAACACAGAATTTGAAATTTGTAAATTCATTAAAAAGTGTTCAACTTGTGTTTAGTAATGTTTGGAATGTTGGTTTCTGCGGAGGGAAGAAAATTGCTTGGTGAGCTCTGAGAAAACTTTTGGGAATACTGACGAAAATCAGCTTCAAATTTAACCCACATGTGACGCCAGTGGTCCGCCTCTCAAAAAAAGTCTCAATAGCAACCGCTCCTGAAAAGCTGTCTTATGTATTCTGTGCTTGCATTAAAGATTAAGATGGCGAAATGGTTTTTAAATTCATATTACAACCAGTTGCAATTTGGTGGGGGAAAGCTATAACAATTCAAGGTGGGGATCGAATGTTCCATTGTTTTCTCTTGTGCAGATCAACTGTCGTATAATTTATCAATCTGCTCAAAAAAGGTTTTATGTGATCGGTTTTGTCATATTTATACTCGAGAAATAAATAATTGCTTCCGTTTGAAGCCTTCTTTTATTTTCTAAATTTTTTTTTATTTTAAAATGCAGAGGGAGGAGTAGTAACACTAGAGTCTGGCAATCAGTGTATCCCAGAAAGCTATGCTGTGAAAACAAAGCATTCAGCCATTTCGGGAAGGTATAGTTTTTTCTATTAACTCGTTACCATTTTTACAAGCACCGAATACTTGTCAACAACGCACGTAAAGAACAAAGTGCTGGCATGATGTTCTTCCTCGACAGCTTATCCGCACACTGACCAGTCTCTGACCCTTTTAGATTTCAGTCATTAACACTGCTTATCTGTTAGTGAAAGAAATTTCTTTATTTATCGGTGAGGAGTATTGGGTCGCCCGTTTTCCGCCCAACTAAATTAATTTCTGTCCATTAACAGGCATTTTTCTTTCCTTGCTCCACTAAAGTATACCAAACAGATGCATTTGAAACCGTTTATTTGTTTGCTCATAAATTCTAGGCGGTTTAGTGACTTTACCATAAGTGTGCTAAGCAAAGTCGTTACATGCGGAGGAGGGGTAAAAAAGACTGTGCATGAGAACATCTTAACCCTTTGACTCCCTAAGAGTGACTAACATCTAATTTCTCCCTACTATGTCAGCCCTGAATCACTCATCAAGGTCAGGAGAATAAAAGAAATGATCACCAACTTATGAAGCTCTTTATTGTTCAAAACGTTCTCCTTATCAGTACCTTAGGAAATGTATAGAGAACAGTATGGAGAATATGCATATTGATGTTAGAGTGTAAATGGTTAATTAAAAAAGGCTTGTCAGATTTCTCAATTTTTGTCTGTTTTCTAATTTTTCCAGTTTCCTTGACTTGAAGACCACGGTTGATCCTGGAAAGTTGATTATACCAGAAAAGTGCAAGCAGGAAATCAGTAGACGATCCTTTCCAGCGCTTTCATGGAATGCGCTGAGCGACGCATTCACTCTGTTGCAGTCTCATATTAATGCTCGTAAACAGGGATTTCCCTGGATTCTCGAGAACAAAAACGAAAGAAAAAGGGGATTTCCCTGGATTCTCGGGAGGAAAAATGGACGGAAAAGGGGATTTCCCTGGATTCTCGGGAGGAAAAACGGACGGAAGAGGGGATTTCCCTGGGTCAAACCAGGGAAGTTGACGAGTCCTTAAGATTTCCAATCCAGGTTTTAACGTACATTAGGAGATACATCGTGTGAGGGCTGATGTACCAAGCTTAATTCTCGATTAAAATTGCTACAATGAAATAGCTTTGGCGTTCTTACTGGCTAATTAAGTTATCCAACGGGCACAACTTAAACCTTTGGCAGGAGTAATGGGATCCGGCCTTTGGAGATAAATTCTCAAGTCTGCTGTCTCAAAAAAACCAGCTAGTTAACAGTCATTGTTCCTTTCAGCAAAATAAACCGCTTTTAGATCATTTTCAAATTTGACGAACGGGAAACAAGAAAGAAATGCAAGAAAGTGGAATTTATTCGTTGATGATACTTCCCACTGCATTGTAATAAAAAGGGCGTGGAGTGGGATGTCCTTCCCCTCCCCCAGTCGTAACTTATGTCTCCTAAAACCGATTTTTAAAAACTCTCGGAATGTCTAGGTCAGACTTCTAATCGCTTAAGACAGACACATACACAAATACATTTTTTTGCAGACGATGTTTATTAAACGATTCACTATTGACTACAAATCAAGCTCCTTTCTAAGTTTTCTTTCCTGGTTTTTTTTTGACCAGTGAAAGAAATAAAAAAGCCTCTGATCTGAAACTAATCACTTCTCAGCAAATCCATTAGCAATGAAAAGCTGCGCATGCTCCTTAAGTCGTCCACGGCTATTCGCACTCCCTTGGAGGAACAAACCGCTCAGGGTCCACCCCAAGTTCAAGATTAAAAAAGCTAAAAGAGAAGGAAGAAATAACAATTGTTTTAATCCTTTAACCCCCAATATCTTATTAGGAATTCTCCTTACTGTCCGAAATACAGTTCTTGTGATATAAGTTTGGTATTCTCATCACTTGTCTGTTGATATTCTATTGATATTGTAAGGAGAAATTCAGTCTTGATCACTCATGGGAGTTGAGAGATAAAGGGTTAAAGAACCTGTAGAGAAGAGAACTGGGTCACTGCGCCTCCTGCTATGTGTTTGGGCAAGACAATTCTTTTTTCCACACTACCTCTCTTCACCGGAAAATATAAATGAGTAACGGCGAACTGTCAGAGAAGCCTGACGAAAGTTTGTGGGGTAACGTTGCAATGCACTATAATCCAGGGGAGGAAGCAGCACATTACTTGATGGAAAGAAGTCGTCAGTTTATCGGCTTAAATGACATACAAAATCTTCACCTCTTTCCAACTCTGAGGATAAACAAACAACATAAACCAACCTGGTATGCATGACACCGGCCGATTTGGTTTCAATATTTTCATGAACTGGAAGACAACCTACTTCAGTAACCGTCACGGAGTATTTATCTGAAAGTTAAACCACGTATAGCAATGAATGATAACTGGCTTGAATGTCTATAAAGTTTCTGTCAAAAATTTTCAAGCTCCCAGTTGGCTTGTCAGTTCATTTGGTAGAGAACTGCACCGGTATAGCAGAAGTCAAGGGTTCAAATCCCGTACGGACCTGAATTTTTTTCAGGCTTTTCTTTCACTACTAATTTAGTGTGTTGATAACTGCGAGCATCGCTTCCATATTCTTTTCTTCAACCGCAGTTCACATATGGTATTTTCATATATTTACAATTATTTAAAATAATTAAATGTAAAGTCAGAAAAAAATCCCCACTCAGTAACGTCCCACCCTCCCCTCCCCCCCCGCCCATGCTGCCTTATGGGTCGAGATATCTACTGAGTTAGACCGCCCAGTGGGACCGGTCATTATATTTCAGGGCAGGGGAGAGGGAGGGGTGGGAGGAGTTTGATAATGTCACAATTGAATTTACCTAATCCCCCCACAAAGCCCTGTGGAATTCTAATGATCCCCCTTCATTGGCAATCAATTTTCTACAGTCCCTCCTTTAAATTCTGTTGGAGACAACTCACCCCCCCCTTCGTTTCCCCTTGTAATCCATGTGACCCCCTCCCCCTCGGAAGAAAAATATATCGACTTCCCCCTCCCCCAGTTTGACTATTACTTTTTTTTCGGCCTAAATTGATGAATCTTATTTTATTTGAATCAGTCGTTCTTTCATAGGAAATGTTAAATCTAACCTCCTTGGATTTCTCCCGCGAAAAGCTGCACATTCACTCCTGCACCTGGTAGGGCATTGGAGCCAATGGTTCCTTCTGCAACAAATGTGGCATTTTCCGGTATTTCAAACTTGTGGAAGGGTTCGGTGAGTTCTATCTTCTTACACTTGCCCGTTTTGTTGACACTCAGCTCGATTTGGTACATGACTTTCTTTAAAAAAAATGAATATCCAGTGTCATTTAGCACCAATATTGATTGAAATCTTCTATGCCATCTAGAAAAGCATGATTAATTTCCTTGGTGACAGCCCTAATTCGCAATATAAAAAGACACACAACTTAGTTACGTTTCTTTTTCATTCATGTGGCGGACTTCACCTATGGAGAAAGGAAGTCAAAGCCATGCCCTCTACCAATTTTTCAATCTTCCCCGCGGGCAGGGAGCATTATTCTTTCCCTTCACGCTCCCAGCGAAAAAGGTAATTTGACAAATGTAATTTGATGGTGGAATGCATGCTATAGAGTTAAAAAATTGTTAACATGGGTAGGGAAAACCTCTATTGAGTTTAAGATTTCTTAGTTACATACCTCTTTGTGCAATAAAATGTATTCGTAGAAATACTTTTTTCCTTTCTGAAATAAATCCACTTCTTCAACGATACTAATCCTTTCATTTTCAGCATCGTAGCTTATTCTTCCCAACACAAAAAATTCCTTTTCTCGATCAAGCTATTTAGAAAGATATAGAAATAAAGTAATAAACTGCTGACTTATAATAGCATTTCAAATAATGTTTTGTTTGAGTAATCTTATCAAGGAGAGTAACCGAAAAACAGTGATTTCCAGTTTTTTTTATTTTACTGCAATTACCAGAAAATCAATTTACCATCTGCTTCATCCGCCAGCACAAAGCCACGTGATGAAATGTGCAGCTTATTTCGTTATGGCAAAGTTTACATAGAACCCAGATTCTCATTAGAAAAAAGGAAAAGGAAAACTCTTCTTTGCGAAAGGAGCAGCTATATCCCGTTCCATTAAATTTTTGCAGGGGAAAAAAATCGAACTCGCGTACGTGATGTAAGTTAATTTCATCGTGTCCCGCATAAATAGAAAGCACTTGTAATGTAAAGAATAGTAAGGAGATCGTTTTCCCAATCTGAAATGCCACTCACCGTCATTTGACGTCCGTTCCACACTAGAGGGCTCTCTGAAAACAGCCAAACGAGAGATAAATTGACACCAATTACATGAGCGTATGGGGTGAGCAGCTAGGTGGAGTGAATAATAATGTACTTTCAAAGTAATAATAATATTAACAATAAGAAAACTTTTGTAAACCCTAAGGGTGCAAAGGGTGAAGGAAAATTTCACGTGATTTTGTTACTATGCGCAAAATATTTCCACAAAGTAAATGGATTTGAAATTTCCGTTCTAGGCCGACTTACAAAAGATTGTCATGAAAGGTTAGCTAAATTGTTATGTAAACGCAAGAGAATGGAAAAGGAGACTGGAGAGGAGACACGGGAAAGGAACCAAAACGAGGGGTGAATAGGCTCTTCTTACAACCTCGATCTGGGAACGAGGCTGACGTCCTTAATTCCTGGAACTCGCCATATGACATCAAAAGAAATTCGAGTAGCCTGTTTTGAAAACTGTCCTGGGGAGCACTCGACGACGATGAAATATTACACCACTGTTGCATCACTTTCATGGATTATCCAAAGCATTTTTCAGCACCGAGTGGCCAATCTAGATACCCGCTCGGGCAAATCTCACGAAAACCATCTAGTCGTCTAAGAATGCCATAAATTTTTCTGATAGACTGCACCTCGTAAAAACAGTATAATACTTTTCGATCTCCACACTTCGAAAAAATTTCTGCAAAGCTTGCATGGGAACGCTTCATTGTCAGACATGTTACGTAACATGGTTAAACAGCGTTCTTCTTTCGTGCTCGAATCATTCTGTTTTCTTTCATTCTCTCTCAACCAATTACCTGAAATGTTTAATACAGCTGACACTGCGAGAAAAAAAATTTGCAATGCAGCTTGCGCTCGCTACCGTTGCGTCATAGACCACTTTGCGCCAGGTATAATTTGATGGAGGCGGAGGGAAGCTAGTTTCCACGATACCACCTGGGGCATTCCCATTCCGATGGAAACCAACGATTTGGAAACTAATTGAGTCCCTCTGTAAATGTGCGTATTTCATTCGCATGTGAGTAAAAAAACGATAAGCTCAGCATTGATCGATGCACAAACAATATAGGAGGGATAAAAAAGAAATAAAATAAAATGTTTGAACTAACCGCATGGTACGGGTCTCTGCGCGTTGACAAGAGCCACAAGGAGCAACGAAGCAAGAACGGCCAGCATTTTGGTCTCGATTCTGATGAAGAGTTAACAAAGCGCACGAAATACACGGACCTGGCGTTGCCTTGTACTATTCTGCACTGCCAGTGTCATGCAAAAGTCATGTGATTTTGTACCGAGCCAAGTGACGTAGAACCTAGTATCAGGTGACCAAATAAAAAAAACCAAAAGAAAACAGGAGGGGAGATCGGACTAATACTGGAAAATTTTTTTTGCGTTTTGCAGTCGAGCGGAAGCCTGTGTAGATGTTTGGGCCATATTGGGGACTGGCGTGACTGTTGTCGTTCCCTCAAGGATTTGATCACAAAATCGAACACATAGTAAATTTTGCGGAACCAGGGGAGTGTGTATATGGGTAGGTGGCTGATTCAGAGAAAAGAGAGGAGTATAGGGGTGGGGGAAGGAGGAAAAGTTCTGAAAGCTAATCCCTCCCTGATGAGGTGATACTGACCGCAACGCTGACCTGCTGAAAATCTATCATCACTTTCATTAATTGGATATGTGCTTTGTCACCGACCAAAGTTCACTTTTGGGAATCTTTCATCGAGGGGTTAAAAATAAAAACAAAAAGGCAAGTGATGGGCATACGTTGATACTGATAAATTACCAGGTCATGGCACAAACGAAACAGAACAAAAAATTATAACAGAGACGAACGAAAGTAAAAACAAAGCGAAGCTAAAAAAAAAAAAAAACGAAATTTTCAGATATGGTGCATGAAGTAAATAATCATGTATATCTTTGACCCGTGGCAAGAGAGAATCATCTCATGTTCTCTGTGGACAGACGATAAGATCCGATAAGAATGAACTGATCTTCACACTTAACACAGTTAAGTGGTAAGGAAAAAAAAATTGTCAATGGCAGTTCAATAATCGTGTCTCTAGCCTGCAGTGCAGGCGTCTTATTAGGGCGAGTTGACGTTAAGAGGCTCGCAAATTCAACCGACTATGTTTGATTTGGAGTTAGAGTCGACGTTGGGGGTAAGGGGCGGGGAAAGGCGAACATTCAATGCCCCACCCCCTTTCCTCCCCTTCTTTGTGACCGTCACATTTCCACCACCCCCTCCCCCCTCCTCCTTTGGTACAAATTTATTTCTCTTACCCAGCCATAATTTTCACCAAGACAATACTGAGCACTCACTTGCCTGCTCTGGACGCTATCACGTCTTCTGTTACCCATCAGTTAATGATAAAACATCTTGTAATAATAAGATCTCACGGTATCGATCGTGGTAGCAATTTGAAAACCTTAAATTGTTCGCGATATTCAGCAGTCACAATCTTCCTTGTGGAGGTCTGGGTGTTCCCTTCTCATTCTATTTCAACTGTATTTTTATCCAAATTTTAATTTTCGTCCTCAGCCATGTTTTCGAGGGTTCGAAATTATGCTATCAAAGAGTAAATTTGCTTTCTCTCAGCCTTATTCCCTTCACCATCCCTCTCTCCACGGATCAACCTCCCCCAGCCCTCTCGTAACACACATCTGTTACTTATGTAAATATTTATGTGAGGAAAATACAAATTTTAATGTTAGGGCATAAAGGGTTATTAAGCTAGTGAATTGAATGAGCTTTCTCCCCCTCCACCCTCTCCCCCCATCGCCTGTTTCCCTTCCCATCTTATTACATAATTGTAATAATAAATATTTACGTAATCTCCCCTAGTCTATCCCCGAGGATAGGATTGTTTTAAATAAATATTTTTACTTCCGGTCATGTGTACAACCTGAAAAACCGGAAACGATTAGTGCCTTTGAACGAGGCTTTAGTTTGAAAACATGGTGGTCGGTAGTAGAGGCTGTCTATCGCTGATCATCCTTGTTGTTATTTTGTGTTCGTCATGGTTTGTTGCTGTACTTCTGGATTATTATACAGGGCACGGCCAACCGCTTAGGAAACACAGAAATACTAATTCAGCTCCATTTCCGAGCGACAAGATGGATAATATTTTCTGGTTCGTTCAGGTAAAGTCACGGAGTAAACTGTTACGTTTTAATCACATCATGATGATACGTAGGAAGTGTTTCCGGACCGGCTTTTGGAAGAAGGAAAATATATGGATCGCGAAAGGATTTTCTGTGGGCTAATTTCGGTACAATTTCGGCACAGCCCCATAATATTGTAGAACAAATCTGTTTTCCCAATGGCAATGTATTGTTGGTAAAATTTCCGCAAAGCCCCATACTATTGTAAAAAAAATCTGTTTTCCCAATGGCAATGTATTGTTTTTATGCATAATGTAGGATGGGGTTGTGCGGAAATTTTACCCGGCTGGTTTTATACGTGTTATTTAACTTTTTAGAAGTGCAAATTATACCAAATATTAACTAAATATATCGCCCGTATTTATAGTTATTGCCATCCTGAAATAATTTTTCCTGATGGTTTTATTGTTGCGTTGTCTCTGTACAGCAGGTGGTATTATGCTTTAATCTTAATATAGAATATGCTTGGACTAAATTTACATTCCTTATATCTCTTTCATTACAGATCTCTGACATTCATATAAGCAAATACCGTGATAATCAAAGAGTAAAGGATTTGAAGAAATTTTGTAATGAAAATATAGATGTGATAAAGCCTGTTACGGTTCTGGCCACAGGTACTGAAGTTTTGGCTAAACTGCAGAATACCTGGCCACTTTGGTCTGCCTCACTTACATGGGTCGGGAGGCTTTGAAGATTGAGGCATAACACAATAGACGCTATTCTTATTCAGTGACATGTAAATGAATGGCCAGGTATTCTGCAGTTGCTTTGAAGTTTTATTTGATATCCTGTGCATGTTGATATCCTGTGCATGTTGAAGATTGTAGCAGCTATAGGCAGTTATAATCCATTAAACATTTATGCTCATGTGCAATTGGTCTAAATATATTATGTGACCAAATATATCCCACTCAAACTGGGGAATATCTTGACTGGTGATATACCACAAGTGATGATCCCCAATTTCCAAACCATACATCTGAGATGATGAGTCCTGGCTTACAATGTAATAAAAAAGAAAGTTATTTGTGATTGTTACAGAAGACGGGACTGTTTTCCTCAAGCTCTGCTCTTGCAAAACTGTTCGCTAATCTCTGAACAGATGATGTCTGCAAAAAAATATCAGTGCATCATTTTGTGCCTATTGGATGCTGTTGTTTATTAACCAGTCCCCTCCCCCAAATCTAATAGACAATGAATTTTCTTTTGTTTTTGTTGTTTGAAATTACTTATGATTAAAAAATTAAATTCCAGTGCAAATATCATGCTTATTTACGCTCATAGAAAATTGACTGACGTTGCAAAAATTAGTTCCAATAACATATCTTTTTTTTTTTTAATTAAAAAGGTGACTTGACAGATGCAAAAGATGTCCGCAAACTTGGCTCTAAACAGTATAAAGAAGAATGGGAAGAGTATTTCAATGTGCTAAAGGAAACAAAAGTTGAGGATAGGACAAAATGGTTAGACTTGAGAGGAAATCATGGTAAGGAAGCCTTAGATGAATATCTTAGGATCCATGTAATTAATCCTTCTACCCTCAAGATCTAACCGGTAATTCTCCCTACTGTCTGTCATATATTTCTTCTAATATTAATTCTGAGAAATTAGTGTTGGATCAACAAACGATCCCCTAATTTATATTTTCTTTCCCCTCATCACCTGTCAGCTTGATATTGTATCGATATTGTGAGGAGAAATTATGTCTTTGTCAGCATGGGGAGTGAAAAAAACTACATTTCATAAATTGCACTTTGAGAAAACATCAGTGAACTGTTATAAATTTTCTCTATAGTTTCAGTCTTCTACTCTCAAGCCCATCCATTGTTGGAAAAAAAATTGGGAAATGAGAGGACCCAAAGGCAGCAAGGGGCTGTGTTGTATTGTATGTAATTGGCCAGAGGGGGAAGGGGGGGCAAAGAAGTCTACAGGTGCACATGGATCAAAATTGTGCAAGCGAAGCTTTTGCACGTGAGCATTGTTTTTTTCTCTTTTACAGATACATTTAGTGTTCCCTCGCATACAAGCAAGGAGAACTTCTTCAAGTAAGTATGCTTTTATTAATAGTTGAAAAGAGATATTGGCAAAATTTTAAATAGATCGGGACTGGGAAATTATTTCTGGGTGAAAATGAAATGTGTTATGGAATTGCTTAATTCTGTGACTAAATCAATGGGGTTTTATTTCAACTTGGGAGTATTTGCTGTGATCATTCTGTGGTGCTTGTATAATTTGTGTTTTTTATCGCAACCATTGAACTTTAGGATAGATCATTGATTAAACTGAGTGAGAGAGAAAATCATTGCTTGTAGATAAACTTTAATGCAAAGTGCACTTGTACATGGAAGTAGAAAGGCACATGTTTTAAGCTACTCCAATCTATCTTATCAAGGCATATGTTTACCATGCTTAGTTCTTAAAAGATTTATAAAGTCAAATGTCATTATTATGTAAAGGGTGCGTGGAAAAATGCCCACGACTGCAGAAAGACCACTAGATTCCCCTTTTTAAGTACAGTAGTCTTTTGTTCCTGTCAGAAATAATAAGAGATGTTGATAGTGTATCCAAAGTTTTTAAAGCTCATTCAATTCACTAGCTTAATAACCCTTTATGCCCTAACATTAAAATTTGTATTTTCCTCACTGTTCCCTATACATTTCCCATGGTGCTGAAGAGGAGAATTTGACAATCAAGGGCTTCTTTAGTTGGTCAGGATTTCCTTCTTTTTTGTGCCGTAATGTTTGATTCAGGGGTGATTTTGTAGGGAGAAGTTAGAAACCAGTCAATCTCAGGGCCTGAAGGGTTCATTCTGTTCCCTTTGAATTTTTCAGAGATTACTCATCCAGTGGCCCAGATAGAGACAGAGGTACCATGATGCCATACCAGTTTGTCTACAGTACCAAGTTCGGTTCTTATGCATTTAATGGTATTGATATGAACCCAAATCCTGGTCCAAGGAGGCCCTTTAATTTCTTTGGTCACGTGGAGCAGGTATGTGAAAATTGACACACATTCTATAATTGATGATCATTGACAGGAGTACTACAAACCAGGTAGTGTAAGTTGAATCTAGAGCTTGATTATAAAAGTAGAAGAATGATGGTATTTTCTGTTAAATTTTAAGAAAAGGCCAGGCTCCTAACAAAAGTGTAACCTCTTGAGTTTCAGTGTGCCTGACTGAGTGACTGAAAAAAATCATCTCTCATAATTAACTGATGCCATAGTTATTCACAGTTGGTTCACATTTCTGTAAGAGTAGTGTTCATCAAGATATGAAGTGGGGGGAAGTTTGGAGGGTAGAAAAGATAGGAAATATGTCACCTAAAGGCCTATGAGGAGGCCCTCCTTACTATTGGTTCTTCACCCAAGGGAAATTATGAGGCTTTGAGCATTTGAGCAGGCAATAAGTCTGCAAGGGGTGTAGTGCTAGACCCCCTGGTAAATCTCTTCCTGACATGTCTCGTATCTTGCTTCAGGTGGAAAAATGCACTTGCAGGGCTTGCTTGAAGGATAATCATATATCATAAGATTTCATTCTTTCAGGACCGTATTAATGCAATGGAGAGGTTAGCTGATGCTAGCAAATCATTTAATATGACAGTTTGGTTTGGACACCATCCTTTTTCAGTCACAACAACTCCCTATGTTCGGAGGATTTTAAAGTGAGTGGCTTATTATTCAATTTAATATATGTGTTTACCTTTCTGCTGGGTTTGTATGAGGATCTATCTTCTACAGCCAATGACCCAAAAGCAATACAAATTCTGTAATATTTAAAGCTCCTGCATGCAAATAATTCTCACTGAACATGTTGCCTTTCCTCTTCTTTCCTTAGGAAACTCCCACTTTGTTATTTCCTCTCTAACAAGGGCCCAAAGGAACTCTTATGTGGGAATATTTTCCTTATTGATACACTTTATTGTAAGGAGTATACCATTCTCACTTGTAGTATGTGTGAATCCATTTCAGGACTGGAGGAGTTTACTTGTGTGGTCATCTTCACACTCTGCTGGAAACATTTCCCAAGATGCATGCTGTTCACACAGATGGTCACATAGAGCTGGAACTTGGAGACTGGCTTGACACCAGAAAGTAAGCCTAGCGTAGAAGAAAAAAAGAGAGAAAGAAGTAGGGTGGGCTCTGTTGATGGTGATGATTATTTGCCTAGGGTTGGAAAAACCAGATAACAAAGCTGGCAGGGTAATATCTGTTACTGGTAACTTGTTACTTCAGCCTGTAAAGCTGTCAGCCTACTGCTTAACCCTTTAACTCCCAGATCAAATTTGTAATTCTCCTTACTGTCAACTATACAATTCTCATAATGTTAGTTCAGAGAATTTAGTATTGGATTGATTAATTATTCCCAAATTGATATTTTTCTTTACTCTCATCACCAATGTGGTTGATGTTGCATTGATATTGTAAGGAGAGATTCTGTCTTGGTCATTCATGGGAGTTAAAGGGTTAATGTCTTTTGGCTTTTTCCTTTGACCTGGAAAAACCTATGAACAAAAATGCTAGATTAATCACTACCTCAACCCATTGACCCCTAAAAGTGATTAACATCTAATTTCTCCTAACATTATCACCCCTGAATCACACATTAAGGTGATGAGAGTAAAGGAAATGATCATCGACTAAAGCAGCTTGGTTGTTAAACAAATTCTCCTTGTCAGCACCTTAGGAAATGTATAGAGAACAGTATGGAGAATATGCATACTGATCTTAGGGTGGACAGTCATTCTCCACTCTCTTCAATTTCAGTTACAGAGTTATGGCAATAGATCATGACATGTTCTCCTTTGCTGATGTTCGTCTGAACAAATGGCCTGTTGTGCTCATAACCAATCCAAAAGATGCACATTACATTATGCCACCCTATGAACCTCTTGGAAGAATAAGAAAGTCTTCTCACATAAGGTATTTTACACATTGCCGGCAATATATTCAATTCTAAATTAAACAAGTTTCATTTGACCTGCGGATGAAAATCAAGCAAAGAAATGATTCTCGCAGGTGTAGTACAATTTAGTCAATTGCAGAATAAAACTGTCTGAAACAAATTCAGGCTTCGACGGCATTTGAACCCGTGCCTCTTGACTATTCCGATCTTCCAATTCTCCCACAAAATAAGCAGCATATCAGGAATTGTTTCCGAATAGTTTCCAGTGGAATATTTGGAGCGGAGACTAACACAGATGTGGAAAAATCTATTGGTAAAATCATCAACCGGAAACTGTTGAAGAATCGTAGAATCGGAAGATTCACACAATCAGAAACAGAAAGTTGGAACATTTAGTCTACTGCAGTTGAGCTTTTACAACCTCATTACCGTCGACGTAACGTACTGTGGCAATGACCTTGTTTGTAGTTCAACATGGTTCCAGTTGAAATTACACTTCAGAAATTTCAATAACCCACCGTAAGATCTACAATGTTCTAATTTGAAATTGTTCTGACTTATGTTTAACAGGTTTTTGGCTTTCTCTCCTGCACCCGTTGTATCTGCCATTATTGAAATCGATGGAAAACCCCTCGACTCACAAGTTACTCACGTTAAAGGAGCACTGTACGCTTGTCGCTGGGATCCCGAGGACTTTTCATCTGGCATTCATTCTATCACTGTGAGAGTTCAAGTAAGGAGACAAACCCGCAAATTCTCAACCTACTGAGAAGAAAATCTAGCTCTAGTTGTTCGAAGGGTGATAACGCTCTCCACTGGATAAATCTCTATCTGGTGGATTGCGCTGTTCGTTTTCTTAACAATTAACCCTTGGGTAGCGATGTATCCGTTAGATAGCGTTATCCGCCTTTTGATCAACTGGACTCCGGTCTTTTCCTGCATAAAATTTCGATGGCATCTTTGCTTTCTCTCTGATTCCGCACTATGCAAATTTTTTCCTTATTGTCTGCAACGGGGAAAACCCAAACTTTCATTTTCGATTTCAGTCTTGGTCTATTAATAATTCAGAATGTTAATCCAGCCTATCTTCCGGCCATAATTATGCTATGGAAAAACTTTAACCCGCCGAAAAAAAGATTTATGTGTAGAAAGAAAGGATTGAAAAGCTGCAGGAATTTAATTTCCGTAGACGGAACAATAATAACTTATTAATAACTGTGACCCAGCCATTTCGGAAAATATGGAGGAGATCAAAAAAAACTTGAACCCGCCGAAAGAAAGATTTATGTGTGGAAAGAAAGGATTGAAAAGTTGCAAGAATAAAATTTCCGTAGACGGAACAGTAATAACTTATTAATAACTGTGACCCAGCCATTTCGGAAAATATGGAGGAGACCAAAAAAAACTTTAACCCGCCGAAAGAAAGATTTATGTGTGGAAAGAAAGGATTGAAAAGTTGCAGGAATAAAATTTCCGTAGACGGAACAATAATAACTTATTAATAACTGTGACCCAGCCATTTCGGAAAATATGGAGGAGATCAAAATAGCACAAGTTATTCTGACCAACCAAAAAATACAGTGACCAACTGGGTATGCATGTATTTCAGTCCAGCTGTATTTCGTGAAGATAAAATATCAAATTGTTTTTTCCTTTATTTCTTTATCAGATGGAAATATTTTTCTTGTTCTTTATGTGCCATCCAAATGCAAGGAGCGCATGCGTTTACAGGAGCAGTTCTTATTGATGTTCTTAAATGCTCCCATATGAAACACATTGTCAACTGAGATCATGATATATAGATGAATCCATACAACTATTTAGTTGAGGTCCGGACTTGGCGAGGGTTATCTCAAATCGATATCAACACCCCTCTCCGCTCATCGACCTCATCTTTTGCTCACAATACTAAAATTTAGAAGTTTGGTAGAAATCACGGTCTTTGAAGATCTAAAATGTAGAAACGAATTGCACGCGGGCTGTGAAGTGAGTCAGCGGTATAATGGGAAAATGTCGGTCGGGGGTGACGAAGTCTACGCTATGAATTCGTTGACAAAATTTCAGGCTTACAGAAATAGGCCAAGTCTGAATGCTGAATTACCGTTAATTATCCACAGCAACTATACGTTGTCATGTCAATTGAATCCGATTTGAGGTCCAGAATAATGTTATTTGTACGTAATGTTGTTGAGAGGAATACATAGCCAAGTGTGTTCTAGCAGATGGTGTTGTCGGTTTTAACCCAGTAGGTGTACAGAGCGAAAACATCTAAGAACCGAATCAAGTGTTCTCCTTGTCTAGGACATAAAAAATCACCTTACCGGTTCATCTTTGTCCTTTCTTACCCTTCAACGAACCCGACTGATTCCGCATTATGCAGATTTTTTACCTAGTACCTGGGGAAACCCCAACTTTCATTTTCGATGTATTTTTGTATTTTGATAGTTCAGAACGATAATCTATTCTATCTTCACGGCATATTTAGAGTTATGAAAACTGAAACCCTCTGAAAGAATGATTTGTTTGTAGAAATAAAAAGGATCGGAAAGCTTCCAGATGGATTTTTTTAGAGGGAAAATAGTAACTATTGACTGTGACTTGGCAATTACGGAAGTAAAATATGGAGTAGATCAAAACAACAGACGATATTCTGAGCAACACACAAATACAGCGACCAAGTTAAGTAAATTTTAGTTCAACTGAATTGAAGATAAGATACGAAAGTGACTTCGCCTTGATCTCTTTACTAGAAAGAAGTTTTGTCTTTCCCTGTCTGTGCCATCGAAATGAATGGAGCGCATGCGTTAACAGGAATAGTTCTCAATGATCGTTCTTAGATGCTCCCATATGAAACACACAGTTGATTCTGATCGTTATATATAGATGAATTAATACCTAAACTAATTTGAGGTCCGGACTTGGTGAGGGTTATCTTAAATTGATATCCACATCCCTCTCCGCCTATCGACCTCATCTTTTCCCCTTCGATACTTAAAAGAAAGAAGTTTAGCAGAATATGCTGTCTTTGAAGAACCAGTTGCGAGCGAGCTGTAAATAACATTACAGAGGTTTTCAATTGTCATGTACAGTGCTTTATATGAATTAGTCGGTATCATGGGAAAATGTCGGTCTGGGGTAGCGAGAACAACGCTATGAGTTAATTGTCTTAACATGTACCACACAGAAACCAAAGAATTAGTTTATTTCTTCAATATGTCAAAAAATGGTCAGAAATTAAATTCATGATGCGCAATTTTGTCTTTTCGGCCGCTCGGAAGTGAACAGTACTTGCCAATCACTTCCAAGCAAGCCAATCAGCGCGCGCCAAAAGCACTTATCACCTGGGTGGTACGGACTGATTAATCTTTATAACTTACAGGACTCCGATGGCCGATCAAGTGAGAGGACGCAACTGTTTTCAGTGGATGGATCCCGTCCAACGCTGGATCTCATTCCGGCGTTTCTTCTGTTGACTGACTTTGTTACTTTGGTAAGTACCGGAAGCTCAGGCGAACTCACCTTGATGTGAAAGGAGCGATATGAGTGCTCATTGTATCATGCATCATAAATCAGTCAATCAATTAATGAATTGTTCGAGTAGCGATTCAAAAAATAAACGCCATGACCAATAAAAGAAAGCTCAGAAAACACACTTTGGAACGGTCAACTTCTATTCGCTGTGAATGTATTCACAATTACAATTGAGAGTGTGACAAAGCGAGTGCGACGCTGAACGAGACTATGCAATTGAGACTGGAAACGGGCCTGATTTCAATTTGTATTCGGTGGCTGATGTGTTGATAATCTTCTGCTTGCTAGCATTTGCATGTTTGCGGGCACCACAGCCCTATTACAGGAAATTTGGACGAGTTATAATTTCAAGGGGAAGGATATTAACTGGAGAAGACAAAAGCTACAGTCCTTCGTTTCTGCATGGCAATAATTTATCCATGAATGTTATACCTAACTGAGTATTTCAGTCATTTTGTGTTTCGTTGAGACTAAACTGAGCTTTTTAACTCTTCTCGACAGGGCCGTGTTCTATACTGTGTTTCTTTTGTAACCATCGTTTTAGGACTGGGGTGGGTGAGGCGCTGTGATTCTTCCGCATGCAAAGGTATTGACGCTTTCACTCTAAGACTGTCCTCTTACTGCAGCACAGGGCACTTTAAGTAACCCAATACCTTAACTATTTGCTATACTACTAGTCATGTCTAGGGCCCACGCTATATGAAGGGCTTTATCTGTTGTATCCTGGCCCAGAAGAACTTGAAGACAAGTGCTAAAAGTACCAGTCAAAATAGTACCAATCAAAATAGTGGAGTATTAAATGTTTCTACAGCCATAGTAACAGTCTTGCAGTTTGATTGGTTTATTTACAATTTTCAGTGACGGTAGAGAGCGAAATCTCACCACAAGGAGATCAGCAAAAAGTGTGTGTTTCCCCGCTTTCAATCGTTTCTCAAAACCTTCCCCTAAAGACCCCCCTTTGAAGTATCCGTGGGACTACCCTCCCTGCAAACGGACACATTCCAAAAATCTTGGATGTTTACTAATTAAATCGATTCATTTATTAATTTATCATTCATCTTTCATTTCCTCGGAGGTTTTCTCTGTGGTGCTTTAGGAAGATGGTGGAATCGCTTATGGCTTCTTGCTCATACCGATGACCTTTTCTACCCTCTGTTTTTGTTTGGCGTTTACACTGGTGTAGGTGGGTACTTCTCTTCCATACCAGTTTGTTTTTGTTATTGTCGTCGTCGTCGTCGTCGTCGTCGTCGTCGTCGTCGTCGTCGTCGTCGTCGTCGTCGTCGTCGTTGTTTTGTTTCTAACAGCTTGTTATCTCTTCCTTTAGTTGTATTATTGTCTAACATTCCATTTGCGACTATTCTTTTTTTTTTTCTTTGCGTTTCTTTTTCTCCAATTCGCTTGATATCTCGTCATTCGTTGAAAATTAGCGGAACAAACTTTACAACACAATTAGAGTTCTTACTATTAGTCAGAACCGACCAAACAGGTTGGTAAATGAAGAGATGAAAAGTTCTGTTCCTAGAGTTTTCTGGAACGTTTTTGAGGAAAAAGATCAATCAGAACGATCAATATAGTTAAGGAACTGACTTATTTGACTCCTCAGTTCCTTGTAAAAGAAGAGCTATCTTCAAGTTAAGGATTGGACAATTTGTGTTATTTCATTTTGACATTTGGTGTCTCAGGCTGCTTTTGAAGGCACTATTCTGTTGTATAAAAATATGCAACTCAATCGATAGAACTTAAAAAGAAGAAAAGAAAGTTTCGTATTGTGTATCACGTTAGGTCCGTGGGTCATTGGTGAAATGATGCAAGGCCATCTTGGTGCTCTGTTTGTTCATGGTATGTATTTAAAACAGCACTGGATCCCAGGCTCCTTGACCTACTACTATGGAATTATGCAGGTAAGAAAGACTTGGTGCGAGGACGATATTCTGTTTAGAGGGTTAGGTTGTCACAGTGATTATAGTAAATGCGGTGTTAATAATAGCGGAGCTCGCAGGGCGTAGCCCCATAATTATACAAAATAGTAGTAACCCATCAAGCCGAAAAAAATTTGGACTTACGACCGTACGACCGACCGTACAAGATGCTACTTTTAACATGCGTGGTCAATTGTACCGCGGGCACACCAACGTCACGGCTTTGTCCAGTAGTCTAGTGGTCGGTGGACTGAGCTCCGAGTCGGACGACCCGGGTTCTAGTCCTGGCCGGGGTAAGACGTTGTGCCCTTAAGACGTACGGGAAAAAAAATGCGAGCTCCGCTTTTAGGCTTGGCTAAATCTATATATTATACATTTCTGAAGAAATTTGGTTCTGGAATGCTTTTATTTGAATCGAGATTTAAGCAGAGAGAGAGAAGTGACACTAGTGACGACAGTAGGCCTCTTAACCCAGAGTAATAGTAGTTTTAATACTCCTGATATGAAAACGATTTTTCTCGTTCAGTGTCGTGATTGCACTGTATGAGACATGGGCTTCTTTAAAACAACTCTCGTCTGCTTTGGCATACGTTAAACTCGCAATAAAAACGGAATTAACCATTGTGACGATAACTCTCTTAGTTTTGAATTTTTATGTAAGGCGACTATTCTCATCCGTCACCTCACCCTTAATGCTCTGAGCTCCCTAGCGTGGCAGAGGAAGGGGGGGATGCGAAGAGGAACGCAACTGAATAAAATAAAGTTATTGGTTTTTTTGCAGCTGTTCTTTTTAAACTTGCCGCTGACCCTATACCTTGCTTATTTTGTGGAGCTGAACAATACTACAACAAGCAGCAAAGCCGCATCCCAGAATCATCTTTTCCAATTCTCTCACAGTTACGTGTTGCACTCCCTGAAGAAAGGCCTGGGACATTTTGTGTTTGTGTTGATGTTCATATGGCAAGCTTCATCAAGTTTTAATCTGATTTATACCTACGGTGTAATGTCGTTTATGTTGAGTCCAGCTAAGAGTTGGTCTCTTATACTAGTTTTATATTTGTTTTGGCGAGTTCACAGACCTAGAATGAGATAACGTATTTATAGACCATACGATCAGTCTGTAAGTAGCTTAAATAACTTTAACTTAATTCTGAATCTAGGAGGCAATGAGGTAATTAAATCAAACAAATTAAGGAATTTTGAAAGTAGGCTATTGTTTCGAGCCTTTTTACTAGGCACAGTTTAAATGTTGAAGTAAATGAAAAAAAAATGTGCAATTATTCACTTGTCTCCATCAAACCAATCAGTTATTTATTTACTCGTTATTTCAAAAATTTCAGTATCCAAATTGATATTAATCGGAAGGAAGGAAGAGGGGGGTGTTTGATTCAGGTCAGTTCACAGTCAGACAAAGATTGATATTGGCAAAGACTTTGACTTCAACTCCGCTTACCCGGTGATTGGTGAACTAAATTCAAAACTTTTATTCAAGTCAGTTTATCGTCTTGTTGTCAAAACATTTACTACCGATCACCAAAAAGGGGAAGAAGGATAAAAAGAGGGATAATATTTATGAAGAATTTAAAACTTAATTATGATTATACAACTGTAAATTTTATGTTGTTTCATCCTTTAGATAAACCCGATTTCGATTTATCTTCGACTCGAAAGATTGGGCGCTCAAGTGTCCTATTGTCTAGTTTGACATCTATTTTTCGTCACTTAATTTAGTACTTTTTTGGACGTGGTTCTGACTTTTGAAATGATGATAAATAAAGTTGATTAACTTTTTGAAAGGGTTGTTTTACTTTACTGTAGTGTGCAAATGATTGACAAAAGTTTAAAAAATGAACAAAGAAAAAATACGTACGAACGAAAATAGCCTGATTGACCGGCTTACAGAATAAAGACGAGAAAGGGTCTTTGCGTCCGTAGAGGGCGATCGTTACCGTGGGGATCGGGGTGAGGACACCGTTTTTACTCCTCTACAATAAAGCTTTGTTTGCTAACTACGCAAGCTCGTTGTTAAAGACCCAGCTCAGTTTACTGAAGCCAATCGTTTCGCTTGAAGCACAAGAAAAGAGGGAGTAACACGACACAGGTTTGAAAGACTCCTTGACGGTTTATTCTTTCCGCATCCTGAGGGTATGCCTGTGTGTACGTAGAAAGCGGATATCTGTAAATGGCCAAATTCGGCGTAACGCAAGAAGGAAAAAGCTTTATTCACTTAATAGGTCACACTCCTCGTGGGAGCATGTAGGGAGGTATCAACGCTGGAAAGAGTGCAAAAGGCAACAGAATGAGTCGACTCAAACATGCAATCGCATGCCACTAAAATGTAGTTCTTTTCTGAGAGCTGCGAGGGATTTTATTAAAAACGTCTAGTTTCCAGCCCTCAAAAATCAAAGGCCATTATAATAACAACTGGGAATGTCTCTGAAAGGACACAGAAGTTTCAATCTATTACAAAATCAAGAGATTATCCCATGGAAAGAGAAAACCTATTTTATTTTATTTTCTGTTGAGTACCAAATATGAAAGACCTAACTAACTTAATGATTCTCGCAAAACATTTCATAAAAATTTGTGCGTATGCAACCATGTCAAACATCAATAGTATCCGGCAATTGGCAATATTGCTCTTCCTCGTCCGATACCCTTTCAGTGTTTTTTCGTAATCTGTTTCGCGCTGTTTCTCGCTTCGGAAAACAATCATTTCGACAGTCCTTTCAATATGAATGTATTTTTTACTTCGTCTTGAAATGAGGTCGCTCGTGAAGAAAGCTAACAAGGTTTCTTAGTGTACAGTAAAATGGGTACCGCTAAACTCCAAATGTACAGGAGAACACACATAGAACTTGAAGTCATTTTTATGCTCATGGCTGCCCATGCAATAGATAGCTTGATGTTTGAACCATCCTTTGGAGAATACCAGTTTGTTAACACCATCGTTAAGTGAATTGCAGCAACGAAATACACAAAATGGAAGAACGAATAGCTATATGGAACTTTTTCATCGGAAAATTCAAATAATTGTTGCGAAGATTCGTTTTCATGCAGCGCAGCTTCATTGCCTCGCTCTTCGTCCGGAGACTGGTCCTCGCCGTCTTTGACCTTTCGTCGGCGAAGTCCGACGATGAGCCGAAGTGTGGTCGCAATCAGTTCTCGTAAGGTGTCTGTTATTGGCGACACCCGAACGCTGAAATATATGATAGTAATCACCAATAAGCACAAGTCTAACGAAGCTTGAATGTTAAGGTTGGGCCTCATGTCTGCTTCAGAAACGTACGTTGCAACTGGATTGCACCGCTCGTTAGGATTGTAAGATAGTGCCGACCAAGTAAGGTACACCGAATAAGCTGTTACTACAGAAGACTGAAGTAAGCCGCCATCTTGGACCATGGGATGGATCGATATAATGGCTGCCACGGCGCAGAGAACCAGGTTAATACTCACAAACATCTTGTTTGTTTTACATTTATACGAAGCGCCGAAGAAAACATAGAAGCAGACAATGGCTGCGGCAGAGATTCCATAAAAGATAACGGTGCATGCAAACACTAAGTAAAACCAACATCTTTTGCCTGTTTTTTCCATTTTTCGCGCCCAGGTTTTGTTCCAAACTCGCGTGAAATCCACTAGCAGAAACAGCTGGATAATAATGAACATGGAAGTGCCTATAAGTCCGAAGTACATCCAAACTTTACTGAATTCCATGGGAATGAAAAAGGTGCAGAGGACAAGACCGAAAAACAGGCCAAATTTGACCAACCACAATGCATTATGGATCAAGGCTCGAGGGTCGCTGTGAAATTCGACTGAGTAAAGAATCATTGCGAATAGCAGGAAGAACGCCGCCATGGAAAAGCAAATCCTGTACACTGCTAAGTAGGCTGGATCCATGCTTAGACAATTTCCCATCTTTGTAAGTCTGCTACAGAAATAAGGGTTACTTTCGAGCGCGCGTCTCACGGCGGGAAGATACATCGTGCAGGACGCGACCGTTCCAGCCAATAGGAGGAAGGTATATGCGAACCTAGTTGATTTCGATTGATTCCACCAAGGACACGGTTTAATGAACACGACGTAAAGTGCTTTACACGTGAATGTCCCAAGAGAGGTCAAAATGCCTTGTATGGAGTGCACGTCACGGTCGGGAAATATACTTGGAGCAATAAGACTCCAAATGTAAAGAAATATAGAGACGAGACTGGAAAATGTTTTCAGTGTGAGTGCAACCCAGTTTACCGCTTCCTCTCCATAATGCGTTTCTCTAGGATTGTACCAGTTTGTTATGACCATCATGAGATGGACTGAAAACAATGAAAATACAAAATGCAGAAACGAAGAACTGCAGCTTTTGTCTTCTCCAGTTAATATCCTTCCCCTAGAAATTATAACTCGTCCGAATTTCCTGTAATAGGGCTGTGGTGCCCGCAAACATGCAAATGCTACCAAGCAGAAGATTATCAACACGTCAGCCACCGAATACAAATTCAAATCAGGCTGGTTTCCAGTCTTAATTGCGTAGTCTCGTTCGGCGTCGCATTCGCTTTGTCCATACCTGAGCGAGGCATAAGTCAAATACGTCGTGTACATCGTCACGAAACTCGTCTGCATCAATCGCTCTGGATAGGAATCCAGAAACACTGAAATAACAATGGCTATCCCACACAATAAAACAGTTCCTATAAGGAGAAATAAATTAGTTCTACAACTGTCGTGTTTGGTGTACAATAAGAACAAAAGAATTACCACAATTGATGATGAAAGATACATGGCACTGGCGGATAATAGTCTTAGAAAGTTCCAGAATTTGGCGGAGGTGGTGTCGTCCATTTTTTTAGTCAGAAATTCATTCCAGCCTTTGGTGGCGTCCAACACGAATACAAATTGTATAAGCGTGTAAAGAAACGATCCAACCATTCCAAAATACATCCATGCCAATCCAAAACCGCCCCTAGGAATATTTAGCGCGCAAAATATGAGCAACGTGAGGAACGCAAATTTTGGAATCCAGAACCCGGAATGGACTCTGATGCTGATGTTATGATTTGTGGAACAGCAGTAAAAAATCACGCATAAAATCAGAAAGAAAACCGAAGTCGCGAAGAAGATGCGATAAATTAGCGAATATGGCAACATAGTTTGACAATTTGTCGCTGAAATGCTATTGTTGAGGGAGCAGAAGATTTTTTCAGCTAAGGTAGCGTTTACAGCAGGTTGATATAATCCGTAGGAAGATATGATAATCAGTAAAAATACTATAAGATAAAACAGATGAATAGCTGTAAAATTTTCACCATGCTTTGGGCCAGGTCCGACCACAGATAAAAGATGAAACGTTTTTGGCAAATAAGTTTCGCTATCGGAGTTCATCTCTCTTTCCTCTGGTTCTGAGTGTGTGTTTATTTCTGCATGCCTCTCAGCTCTGTCGTTGCTTTTGATACCCTGTTGGAAAGGAGATTCTTCCTGCTTGCGTAAATGATCCATGCAAAACGTTTGTATTCGGCAGTAAGGTGAGTCCTGATGATCTCTCGTGCGTAACAGTTGTGTAATGCAAGTTTGTCTTTGGGGTCACCAATTGAGAACCCAAATGCAAGTGCATTTACCTTTCGTCGATGTGTGTCCTATTAAGGAAGCAATCTCGTGCAGTAAGGAATAAATTTCACCAATTTCTATCTCATGTTTGTGATGCAGAGGGACACAATCAGAGCACCAGAAATTGGCTCAATGTTTTCACAACCAGATGGTAAATTTTGCTGGCGTCATATACAAAATAACACCCTTTATTTCCTCACCATTCAATATATTTTCTTAAAATAACCGCCGATATGAGTGGAAATAAATCTGATCTGTTTAATTTTGACGGGTGGCTGTTTTACGGTCACCTGTTGCTAAGAGATAAAATAAGTGATGAGAATTCCCCGTTTTTCTGGGATCTAACGTAAGTCACGTGATCCGACCGATCATCAGGCCCCCTCTCCCAAGAAAGAAATGGTCCAGCATTGCAACTAAAAACTTTAATTCCGGCTATTCTTTCCACTGCTATTTAGAGAGCACCTCTGTGATAAAAAAACCATTGTGGGGCGATCTTGACATTGACTAATTCAGAGTCAGTTTGAAGAATTTGGAGCAGTGCTCTCATGATATTCAGTCAATCCATGGAGCAAATATTAGATTTAAAACAGGTTGCTGTTAATATATTTGCATTCCACGCTTAACAGTCACTGAAACCTTTTTCAAGGCTTCTGATCCAGAGTTACAACCTTTACGAGAATCTGAATAGCAAGACTGAAGACCTCAAAGACCGTGTCCTGTTATGCGTCACTCCCATGTGTATACTCCCCCCCAACCTTTCCTCTTCCGATCTCACTCTGATTACTGATTAACCCGTCTCTGCCCATTGCTAAATCAACATAATAAAACAAACAAACAAGGTAAACATACAAACAAGCGAAAAAAACAAACAAACAAAAAAGCGAACCAAAAAAACAAACAAACAAACAAAAATGACAAAAGAAGGGAAAAATATACAGACAAACTTGAAAAAAGAAAAAAAAAACCAAGCATCACTTGCTTCATTCCCTCTCTGTTTTTCTAGATAAATTAAGTCTAGTTTGATGAGATTTGAAAAATTGATTAAGCTATAGGCTTACGTTCGTCCAACATACTTTTGAGATTATAGTTAGGCTGTACAAATTATTTTCTGCGGTATATATATGGGAGAAAATACTAAATGGCAGCAAAATGAGCTAAACCTTCCAATTCATTTTATAAAATACACGGATTCAAAACAAAAATTAGAAATCATGGCAAGAAAACCTCACATAAAAGACCCATAAAAAACTGTTTGAAGAAAAACGACATCTCAAACAGTATTTTATCATGGCTGCTCTTTACTTTTCCTCTGAATCAAAACTGAATTATTGATGTCCAGAAGCAAATAGACCTTTTTGATATTGTGCTAGCACAATTTTTAGCATAATTTGGAAAAGCCGTGCATAAATTTTGCTATTTTCACGACAGTAGCACTGCTAGCATAATCATTATATTGTAAAGATTGTGTCGATCCCGGATCCTGCCTTCATAGCCGGGCAATAAAATGATTTTGAAGAGAAACGTGATGCTAGGATCGTAATTTGGAATTAAATGCAGTTGTAAACTCTGTTTTGTCAGACCAAGTACTCAAAATAAAGAACATATGCCATGTTATCAATGCATACGTAATTCTGACTCTTTTTTTCGGAAAAAATACATAATTTTAAAAGATAAGGATAATTTTGAGCATCCTTTAGGAAAAATCAAGCAATGCTAGTGGCGTAATGTGCTACATTTACATGCACAATCTGTAAGGGCCCAAAAGCAAATAGCAATAGAAGTTAACCTCTTCCTCAATGAATTAATCAGCATTTCAGTTCAGTGAGGTTTGTAAAGTAGTTTGGTGGAGCTTTTTTTGATCGCAGTCATGGCTCGCGGCAGCTGACTTAACATCAAAGCTTGTTCTTACCGTTCTGAGCCAATCCCCATCGGCCACATTTTATAGCGCAGTGAAGCGCGGCGAACTCCACTAGCGCATGCGCTATCTATGCCGCGAACCTCGAAATTGCTCTTTAATTTCAACGCTAACATGTAAATTACTGTTTGCCCACTGGAATTCTCCTATGATGAATAAGTATTTTTTATTGAGTCTTTGGTTTTTGGTGTACTTTGTGTCACCTGGATGGTTCGATTCGTCGACAGAGAGATGTTTCTGTAAGGTAAGTACTGTTTGTGGCTGGCAAAGACAGGTCCATGTTTGTGTTCCTGTAATTGCTGAAGCGAGCCACCGGCCATCAGTAGACAGCTGGTTCGCTTGGCTGAATCGTAAATTTTAACTGTACAGCAGAATTTCATAAATATTTTGGCTTTTTTTTTATCGTATCCAGGAAGATTATTTGTTATGGAGGAAAAAATTCAACCGATTGTCCGCGAAAAATTACAGCAATTGTGTCCGAGAGTGAAGTCATGTTTTGAAATTATATTTGAATCAGTATGGTGTCACTCTGAAATCACTCGCCATAGCGACATTCGACGTGTAAACACTTAGAAGCTACGAGTACAAAATTTGTAGGAGCTTCTGTCGAGCATGTAAATGTATACAACGAGCTTTTATCGATCGGAAAGTTATGCAATTCGACATCATGAAATTTATATGTACATGTACACAAGATTGTATGACCTTCACTCGCAACTATTTTTTTTTCCTCGCTGATGAGCGGAAAATTTCTCTCAAGCCTCTGGAAGTCCTGCTGTTATTTTTTAATCAAACTGTAAACTTGAATGAGAAAAATAAAAATTGTACCCTCCCTTTTGTCAAGTTTCCTCGTGGCCGATTGCAATTGGTTTACTATCGAATGAAAAATTTTAATTTAGTGTTGACTGGAAGCGACATGCAGATGTAGCAGATGTTGTTTTCCTTGACTGTGATGAGTATTCCACCAGTGAACTTGTTGGGACAAATTTGGGCCAAATACATCAGCAAGTAAAATTTTCCTAAAATATTTTTGCGTCGAGCAAAACTTATCGCAATTAAATTTTGCAGACTCCTGTCAAATGATATTGACAAGTTCTTACCCTGAGTGGTTTAATGATAATGGGGTACACTTTACATTCCACCTGCAAAAAAGTGAGAAAGTCAGTCTTTTTACAAGGTGGCATTTCAAATAGAAAATTGACTCTTCATTATCAACTCAACTAAAAATAATAAATTAAGAAAAAATTGTGGCAGAAAGTGGTAAAATGAAAAGTTCTGTTTATTACTTAGTTGTGTGGGTATACATATTCATATTATTGTCAAAATTTTCATATTGTCAAGCCAATTGTTTGTTGACTTCTTCTATTTCTTCAAAGGCCCTTTTGTTTTAGTGAGTGATTTTTTTTTTCTGCTTAGAATGAAGTACTAAGTCCTTTTTGGGAATCATTAATTTTGTCCATGTTTATTAAAGCTATTTTACACATTGCAGTTTTATCCTGAAAGTAAATTTGTTCAGCAACCCGCTCTAAACTTAAGGAGACCTCAAATGCATTAAAATGTAAAGTATTTCTTTTAAAAAGCCAATATTAAGTGAATCATTCCTTTTGTAATCATATATTTGTAGACTAGATGCGCTGTTGATCAATCATTCTTGTTCATGTTATACTGTTTTTCAGATACTACTTTCCTCTGACGATTTGAATCCAGTATATCAAGAAGATAAAATACCATAACAATGAAATTTTTAAACTGAAACTTTGAGACAGAACCTTTTTGAATATGTAAATATCTATAAAAAGAGTGGATGTGCACTTAACTCTTTAACTTGCAGATCAAATTTGTCACTCTCCTTACTGTCAACCATACAATTCTTATAATGTTAGTTCAGAGAATTTAGTATTGGATCAACTAATTATCCCCAAATTGATAGTTTTCTTTATTTCCATCACTTATCTGGTTGATATTGTATTAGTATTGTAAGGAGAAATTCTGTCTTGGTTACTCATGGGAATTAAAGGGTTAAGTTAGTTTTATGGGACATGGAAAAGTTACCTTCAAGTATGAGAAAACTGGGTGAAATATGCCTGTATTTAATTGAATTATTTACTTGGTAAAGTGATTTCGATTTGCTTCATCTTACATGTAATATCAGGAAATTGGAATACTATATCACCCTACATAATTGATGAGTTTAATGTCCTTCAGAATATAGGTAATATAACTGAACCTCTAGCAACCAATTTTTACTCTGTCTCCTTAATAAATCTGTCTTCTATTCACTAAATATTATTAATTCAGTAACATCAATAGAGTAGGACTGGAATTGTACTTGTTTATAAGGAAATGTGTATTTACCAGTACCTTGCTTGCCAACTCAAGCCATTTTTAATAGGAGCTACCATCAATTTTTGTCAACTTGATTACAGCTACTCCTCAAGAATGAAAATTGCATGTGTGTAAAATGAGGGTGTGTAGAAGTACCTCATAGTACTGTGTGTAGTACTTCTCACTACTACCTAAAGTTGCTCGGAATTCCTGAAAATATAACAAGGAAGAGGATTGCTCTACTGGTTTGCAAATTTCTTTAACCTGCTGTGCTTAAAATATGGGAGAATTCTGACAACTGCATAAGAGAAGCAAGTGCTGAAATGAGCAGCATATGTACAAAATTTGATATTGCTGCATGTGTGTCAAACCACAGCGTATCCTCCAGTTGTTGTTTTGTAGAGTGCACATTTATGGAATTGAAAATTACTTTTACTAATTGTCTTCTGCTTTTGTTATGCTTAGTTATCAGGGAAACCAGAAGAGTGTTGTTGTGATGTAGAGACAGTGGATCAAATAAACAAGGAAATTCATCCAGTCATAAGTGAACTGGTTACAAAAAATTTCTTCAAGTTTTTCAGGGTATGGAACATTACAATATCATTAGTGTACTAGGATTGAATAAAATGAATGAAATTTTCTAACAAATTTTTATAATAATATTGAATCTGTATGACACTGTTTTCTACAAGTCCTTACCAACTAAATATGCATGATTAAATTCCCATCTGTCATAAGGAATTCTACAGAAATAAATACTGAATCAGGGTAATAAATTTATGCAAGAGATTTCATTGATTTAAGTCTGTTTTACACTGTAAAAGTTGATACCAAAAACATGTTTCAAAATCTTTAAAACTTTGCTTTATATTAGTTTTGTGGTCTTAAGTTACAGTTGCTTTTACATTGTAAATTAAACAGAAATTTTGTTTGAATTTTCATAGGAAAATTAAGTATAATGACCATTTATTTATTTTTGTTGAAGGTTAATCTCAACAGGCCATGCCCATTTTGGCCAGATGATGGTGCTTGTGCTCTGAAAGATTGTTCTGTATCAGCTTGTAAGGAGGTATGGGTGATTGATACATTTTAATCAGCTACATGTACATGTAATGGCGGTGACTTTACTCTGTTGTAAATAAGAATATGATAACAAGTGTTCATGCAAATTGTTTCATGTTTGAAATTAAATGGTGGAAACACATTTGATGCGTCTCACAGCAGTTACATATGGATTGTTGCTTTGTATTTTGGTGGATAAAAGGGAAATGAAACATACAATTTTTTAGTTGTTTGTCTATGACCATGAACTATTTGTGTATCTGTTGTTTGTAATGGAAATAGGACCGAGTGGAGTCCAATTCGGTCTGCTATTATACAAGTAATTACAAAATTGGTTGAATGTGTGGGGGGAGTCTGATTTGTTTATCACAGGTACAGATATTGTTTTGTATTGTAGTACATTGTATAGGTACTGACAAAATACCACGATTTTTCCTTTTACTAAAAAATCATATCCTCACACACGCTGTGAAGATACTATTTTTATCTTTCACATGTGAGAATATTTGTGTTGCCATGGTTACTAACATGATTAGCCAATTACAAGAGAGCTTCCTGCTCAGGTGCACGGCCAGTTCTTTTGAAATTTTATGTAGGTATTTCATCAGTGTCTATAAAATAAGCAGAACATTACATGGCCACTTGGGGATATGAATTTTATCTTCTAGTGCTGAAAGTATCTCTCACTTGTTCGCTTCACTCACTCCTGAGAGATACTTTCAGCACTCAAAGATAAAATTTGTATCCCTGTGCGGCCATGTAATATCCTTTATATATATATATATATATATGTATTTTAGTATTGTAGTATATTGTTTATTAAGACCCTGACAAATGTTTTAATTTCTGGCAGGAGGAACTTCCTGAGGGCATCAAAGCTGAGGTAAATGTTGTGATTTTAGTCTTGAAGCCTGTATATTATTTTTTCTTTTGATTTAGGCTTAATGCAAATGTACATGCATTAGACAAGTGTTCAATAATAAAGTGGTTCTTCATATTATCATTAAGCTCCAAATAATACCATCTAGATAGTGAATTTTTTGGCTCTACCTTTCATGAAGAGACAGAGCCTTGGCTGGTACATGGAACTGGAAAACTAAAACAAAAACTCTTACAAAATTTTTTTTCCATTTTTTATAATCATGCAGCCTTAAATGAGAGTTGGGGCAAATTTGACAATCGTGGCTACTTTATTTCCCTGGCTTCTTGAATCTTTATTTAGCTTATAACTCTAACTTTCTTTTGGCATTAATCACTTGAAATCTAACAGGGGAGACGGCCAGGTAATGGGAGTTTAAACCGTAGGGGAAGCACACATAAAATGCAATCAAACAGTGAGGTAATTTGAATTTTTCTAAACTTACATTCTATTTTATCCTCTGCTGCAAGTCATAAAATGGCAATTATTTGGGGTTTTTTTCACTTGTCTTGCTTCTTTTTTATTATTTAATTTTTTTAATGTCCTTTTGCAAACAGTTATTGCTTTAGAAAATGTTTGTGATCATTTATATGTAAAACTGAATACATGGATTTTTTGCAGTGATATGCCAAATAGTTTTGTACTTATTTACTTGTAAAATTGGTGACAAATGGATTTCAACCAGTTTGAACATGTGTATCTGAATCTTTACATTCCCTCAAATCTCAACAGGATAAAAAAGGTGAAAGTTGCCAGTCTTCAGACAATGAGACCATCCTTGGTGAAATTGACAGCACTATCAGGTATTTCACCATTCACAACAAATGTTTGCATTGATTATGCTCTACCTGTTCAGTTACATGCACTTACTGACTTAGTGGAATTGTTGGATAGGATAATATTTGGTTGGAGTCATTGATGACATGGGAACCTCTCTTTGCTCGGTCCATACTTCATGATCAAGAGCCAATTATACTTTCTTGTTAGGCCCAACCCACATGAAGCTTATATAATAAGCAGTTTTTTTTTTAAAATTGAACCTTGCTCTTTCTTTTTATATCCCTTCTTCTTTCCGCTGATATCTTCCAGGGTTGCTCAGCTTTTTGTAGTCTAAGAGCAGACCCCTATGTGCAAAGTCTGTTGCACAATTAAAAAAAAGATAATAAAATAAAAGAGGATGTTGGTGTTCCTTGCAGAACTCTGGGATTGAGGAGCATGAAATGTGTAGTTCCTAAAGTACACTTTTCTCGGAAAACTTAATATTAAATTCTTTGTGTGAATTTTATTCAGTGATGAAGACAAACAAGCATTTGAAGCATGGCATGCTCATGATGATGCTGAAGATAACTTCTGTGAGTTGGATGGTGAGTCAAGTATAATTATTTGAGATTCACACCTCTTTCTCTCATTAGTTCTGGATATCAATTCTTCACACTGTCTGCCATCAAGTTCCTTTAATGAACTAGCATTCATTTGCTCTCACTGACAAAGGACTAATGTTTCAAAACTTGTCAGGTTTTGAAGCTCTCTATGGTGGTTAATTTGCATTATCAACTCAGTTGATAAAACCAAAATTATCCTGTGATGTTATAGCATGATGAATTTGTTGTTAAATCATACAGTACTATTTTTTCTTTTCATCATCTTTCTTCTTGAAAATGTAATGATGTTTTAAGGAGGAGCTCCTCATTGGTTATACCTGGGGTGGAAAGGTCAAATTTGTGAGCTGGTGATCAGAAGCCTCTGTGTTAAAATATTTTTTGTTGGGGGTGGTGGGGAAGAGAGTGGGGAAGTATTTGTCATCTTGTTACATGAAGAATTCTTTTAGGGAAATGTTTATTAAAAGTTTTGCAACAATTGAAGGACATGAGATTCCCCTTCCACTTTGCTTTTCTCAGGGATCAACTTTGTACATCAGAGGCAAGTTTGCTATCCCCCTTAAAATTGTGAGCTTCTTTTGGTATTTACCTTTTATTAGGCTTTTCCCAGTAGTTTTGATAAAGTATCAAAATCTTTTTTTTTTTTTTTTTTTTTTTTTTTCATCCTTTAGCTCTCTGGTCTATGGCTACAGGCATTAGTTGGACTTGACTTCATTGCCTCTTATATTGCAAAATTGCCAAAAACTGATTACCAGTATTATTATTTACATGCAAAAAAAATGTATTTGATTATGCACTGAAATCTCAATGTATTCATTGTAATTGTGTTGTAGATGAGTCATCTTCTGGGATGGAGTATGTCGACCTACTGAGAAATCCTGAGAGATTTACAGGATATGCAGGATTCTCTGCTCAAAGAGTTTGGAATAATATTTACAAGGAAAATTGCTTCAAGTAAGTGGCATTTACATCTGTTATCTCCTTCAACTAAGGAGGTATTTTCTTTGACTCAAGTCTGGTCCAGAATCATTGAGATTTCATTGAAGGAAAGCATATTTTCTTGTTAAAAGAAAGACAATATTAAGTTACTGTCCTTCAGAAAGGTATTATTTAACTTTCTCATTCACTCAAGCTCAATTTTGTTTCAAAAAATAATTTAGTAGTTCGGCGAGATTGATATTGGATCAATCAATGATTTGAATCCCTGAATTGATATTTTTCTTTGTTCTCATTACTTATTTTCTTGATATTGTAAGGAGAAATTCTGTCTTGGTCACTTATGGGAGTTAAAGGGTCAAACATATATAATGCCTGTAATTTATGTAATTGTTTTTCTCTCAGACCCACGTCTCCTTATGGGAAACGTTATGGGGTTGTAACATCCAAAAATGTTGATGGTAAGTCATAGTTTCGTTGTCGTTTGTTTTTGTTTATTATTATTATTATTATTATTATTATTATTATTATTATTATTCAGTTAACTAAAGTAATCCGGAATAGTTGCAGTATAGAGCGCTTTTCAAGTCGAAATAACCAAAACTAAATTAAACGCAACAGCCGATCTGAAGAAAGGACAATAACTTCAAGAGCCAATGAGAACTCAAAGTAAAAATAGCCAAACTGCCTAAAGCGCGGGAAAACGCGGGTGACCAAGTTGTGATTTGGTCTTAGTTTTGCATCTGATTGGTTCAGAGAGAGGCGCGAGTTTTCCAGACCAATCACCGAGCGAAGAATATGAAACCAATGCAATATTCGAATTACCTTTGACAGTCATGAAAATAGCGCAATCATAATACGGACTCAATATTAACAAGGAAGGGGAAAAAATTTATACTATGGTTGCAGACACACTTCATTTTGTTGATAATTTAAAGTAGCTTAGCACCCCTAGCACAGATTTCAAATCTTTGCACAAAATTTGAGCTTGATATGCTGATTACATTTTCAGTTATGAATATTGGAGGTCACTAAACTCGTTTTCTAATTACAGGCATACAAAGCTTGATTTCTGCGAAAGGATGTATTGCTGCAAATGTTAATATAGTATGTCAAAAACTGCACCTGGGAATAGTTTTTTTTTCATTCACAAAATTTAGTTTGACAGAGTTCCCTAGACTACGACTAGTCCTCCTTTTTATTTTAGCGCGCTGCACGGAACTCTGGGAGTACCTCACTTTAAGAGTTCACATCATTTCTTTTTACGCTGGTTTTCTTTGACGCGCGCGATAGACTTAGCCCAAAAGGAGACGGGCGCGATAGACTTCGGCAAAAGGGAGGGACTGCTCTTTGCACAAAATATAAATATATACACACTACCATTCACCTACGTTGTTCCTTTTTTTAACTTTTACTGCGGCAATTTTGTGCTTTATCTTAAACAAAAACTACTACGGCGCATTAATCTCTAAAAACCGCATATTTGTATTCATTGTAGAAATGTGCCTAGAGAAGCGAGTGTTCTATCGGATGATGTCAGGCCTCCATGCTAGCATCAATATTCATTTGTCTGCCATTTACCTATTTAAAGGTAAGAGTTACCAGAGTGTCCCCTTTGTAGCATCAAATGAGCGTTATGATTTTTTTAACGTTGCATGAACGTCATGGGACTTTTAGACTTCCTTAACTTACGTTTAGTATAAAAGATGATGATAAAATCTCAGTACTACCGCATGCAGATGTATTTTGTCACTGGCACCTATTTGTTTTATAGGTTTTACAACTACGCAGTTTTCAAAAACATGAAATCCTTGAAACTGAAATCTCTGTTATGTATCGTACACGATTTATTGTTAGGTAATGGTTTCATGAAACCAAGATGGGGTGAGAACGTCGAGGAGTTTAGAAGAAGATTTGATCCTGAAACTACAAGCGGGGAAGGTACTGTTTAAGTTACGCGAGAAAAATTTTATTTGAATAATCTGGCTTTTGCTTGTGTGGTGATCTCTCAATTCTTCTTTTTTCAATTTCGGTGGCTGTTTTCATTCCATGAAAAGTTATGCCGAAGGTTTCAAGGGTTTTTTTTTTCTTTATGTTTGTTCTGTGGGTAACGGCAGGTCCAACATGGCTGAAGAATCTTTACTTTACATACACTGTGGCTCTGAGAGCCATAATCAAAGCGGCTCCATTCTGGGAACAAGAACAGTTTTACACTGGGGATTATGGAGATGACGTTGAAGTACAAGAACTTGTTCAAGTTCTTCTGGCTAAATCAAAGTAAGACTGGCTACGTAGGAACAGGGAGAGGCCGTTGAGAATATACTTGGACAGGTTTATGTAGATGCGCATGTCCGGTTGGGCCCGGCACATGTGCATGTACATTTACTTGTACATGTGCTCATATCAGACCAAACGGTTTTAAAGTGTACGCGCTCGCTGCGAACTCAGATATTTTAAGTCTTTTATGAGAACAAGCTTTGTTTCACCGCAGGAAAACGAGATTATAGCCAGAGAGAAAATGTGTCTCTTGCTCTGGACACCAGACCCATTTCCTGTGGAAGAAGATTACTTCTCTCACCAGCCTTCTGCTGCTGTATAAACTAGAGGTGGCAGCTATAATTTTCACATAGAAAATACTCAGCATTTGCTGGCCAAATTCATGCCAGCTTTCCAGGCTAGTTCATAGGCTAGTTCATGGCGTCTTTGCGCGGTTACTATGCATTTCAAGCTTCTGCTTGGTCTAAGTCTTTATTGACACAAGCCTGTGGTACATGTACTACCAAATAAGTAAGAAGGATGTTGTATTTCTCTTTTGTTTGTTTGTTTGTTTCTTTTCCTTCACTTGCTACATTCACAAAACCCTTTGTCTTGTTACACCTCATAGAACCTGTCCAAGCACATTTGATGAGAAGCTGATGTTCAGAGACCCAGGCAGTGCAAAAATCTTAAAGGTAAGGTATTCTCCACAACTTAGGGATCCTGCTCTTTGATGGGCGCAGCAGCAGCTTTGAAAATATCTGGCATAAATAACTCACCACTCTTGTTCTTTTGAGAGAAGAGCAATATGTACCGTATGCCCATCGCTCATCACATGAAATCAATAAGGGCTGATACTTCTCTTTTCTGAAAGTCGAAGGTGCGTACAAGCACCGGTATGACAAATTTTAAAATTGAATCGTCCTTCGTGTGTCGCCTGATGATCTTTAAGTGGGCTGCAGAACAGTCAGGCAGATGATGTACATTTTTGTAGGATGCTCAGGCAGTGAGATCTGTGTAGGTTATATCTTATTGAAAGTTGCCCTATTTTGTTTTTTTTTCTCGTAGGAAGAGTTCAAGCTTCACTTTAGGAATGTCTCCCGTATCATGGACTGTGTTGGTTGTGACAAGTGTCGGTTGTGGGGCAAGCTTCAGGTTTGTTAACCTTCATTTGTACAGTTTAATGTGAGAGCTGGAAGTAGACTGCACGGGGAACAACATATTTTCACCCCTAGATTTTTTTCCGATTTGTATTATCCAATCAGCTTTCAGCATGACGGCACATGCGCTATTCTGGCAGGGTCATCTTGGTGTGTTACGTTCTTAGGGTAGACACTTTCCTTGTACTTTCCACTGAAGAGTATGAATGGGCAACAGTGATGTTAAAAAAAAATCCTCTTTTGATAGAGAGCTCTGGTCCAGTCCAAACCAAAGCTTGCGAAAAATTTTAGTGGCTCTGAAACTAAACTAAACTCAGAAACGAGTGTCCATACGTCATCCACGAAGTGGAGTTTAGCGTCTCTGAATATGATTGACTAAATGATCTATTCGCACGTCGCGCGTGAAAGCGGGTGCAACATACATCAACCTTTGAGTGCAGTTCAACGTTTCTAAATATGATTAGTTGAATAATCTATTCGCTCGCTTCCTTGATAAGATTCGGGGGGTAACTTGCAATGGACCAGTGTCTCATGCACTGCCAAGGATACTGACAGATAGTGAGCATTCCTCCTCTCAGCTATGTTTGTTTGTTTTTTTCAAACAGAGGGCTCTGTCTAAACCTAACCTTTCTTTTTTGACCAACCGTAGGTTCAAGGCCTGGGCACTGCTCTTAAAATCCTCTTCTCTGGTCACGAGTTTGACGACGGAAAGTTTGACAAGAACAGTCATTTTCAACTGAAAAGAACAGAAATTGTTAGTTTATTCAACGCCTTTGGAAGGTATGATAAAAACTGGCGTTTGTAAGAAAACGCGGTGCTTATAAATTTCGATCTATGGTTTATTTAAATCGCCAACTGCAACTTCAAAGAAAATGGAATCAAATATTGGGGCTTGTGGAGATTGAGATCGGCTTAAATTGTGTATTTTTTCCACAGTTTTTCTTTTATCAAAAATTGATCCGTTAAAAGTGCCTGCTGTGATATCTTACTTGGAAACCCTGTCAGATCTGTAAGCGTATGATATTCCCTATTTCAGTCCCACTAACCTACTTCTTCTTCTTCTTTCTGAACAGGTTATCCAGTAGCATAAATTATTTACAGAAATTTAAATCAATGAAACACGGGTAAGACTGAGACTTTCTACTTCCAAATCTAATTGTTGTATCTCCCGCACCTTTGAAAGAAGTCAAAGTATGGTCAATCGAAGCGATTATCTGCGCTTCGAGACGAGCGTTCCTTCGCCCGCGAAAAAGTGTGAGGCCTTTAGCATGAGAGCCGGCTGAAGGTCTGCAAGAGGTCTGGCACTATTTCGTCTCACCTGTTGTTTTGTTTTTTCCCTTACACTGACAGGCACAGATAACAGCAAGTTGGCGAGGGACTGGCACCTTCAGATGGCTCGCTTGTTTCCAGTTTGTTTGCAGTTTCCTCTCGGCCAAGGAGACACGAGAAAAAGAAAAACAGTTTAAAAGATGAAAAGTACACACAAAAAAACAAAACAAAAAAAGAGGAAAGTGTTCTCTTAGTTTGACGATTGCACACAGAATTTGGATTAAAAAGTCGTTTTTTCTGGCAATTGTTGTAAGACTATAAGATAGTTTTTGGTTGAAAAAAAAAAACCTTCAACAGTGAATATTTCGTTGTTGGCTTATATAAAGCGTAAGTTTGTGATATAAACAGAAATTTTATTGTTTAATTAATATAAGTACCGTCAAAACTACAACTTTTTAAAGTTGCAAAGTGTTTCGAGGTCCTTGTCATCAATCGCATGACTGGTTCGTTAATCAACAAAGAACAACTTTAACTGGAAATTTATAAATTTGATTTATAAACGTGCTGTTTTAGGTTCCTTCTGTTTTCCAACAGTACTTTATGAGAATTTTATTGTTGTATGTAGTCTGATGTCTAATTTCCAATGCAATGCCTATTGACGACTTTCTGAATGAAAGTTGCAACCTTTTGTACTTTTGTAAATTTAGTATGCAATGAATTAAACACATGCAATCACCTTATTAAAATCCTTTGTTCGTAGTCTCAGAAAACCAAGCAAACGTTTTTCTGTTCCTTCCTTGATACTTCGTCCAGTTATTTCCTACCCCTACCCCTTTGGGAGCAATCAATTTTTATCTTCGGGGAGGGTGGTGGGGAGTCAGAGGATTCATTCTTCTTATGAATCCCCTCGTGGGACGTTGATCGGCGATTAATTTTTAATCCCTTATACTCTGTCAGCGACTCTCTTGGCATCTTCTCCATTTTAAGTTTGGTTCCTTAAGATGGTGAAGTGAGCTAAAAACCACGGTTTTGAAGTATGTCGAATTGTAGATCACATTTCAGTCACTAAATCTTCAAACATCATGATAGCTGTAGGTCATTGATATCAACCTCTGCCGACCTTTTTAGAGACAGTTCCCATCGTTATACAATAGTCCAGAGTCGTCTAACTAAGAAATAACATAAGCGGTTTCTGAAAATCAAGTACATCACGAACAGCTAAGAACGAACTCTTAAAAAGATTATAGTTAAGTAAAATTGACTAGAAACCAAAGTTTATGACACCTGACATTTTCTTCACTGCAAGCAACCGACCCCATTTTTATTTAGAACTACGCATTACAGATCAATATCAGTCTGTTCGCGTGACGTAAGTGACGTGACATTAACAGCTTGCTCCACGCATCCTGTACGTATCAGTTTTTGTTACTAATGCCTCGAGCGAATAAAATTCTGATCGGAAGATTCTGGAAAACTCCCGGCTTTTTCACTAAAAGGCTGCCTCAAATATCCCAAAACAAATATTTTAGGATTCTTGAAACAAAAAGATGACATGGTGTGGGGTTTCCACATCCAAATCAAACCATCAGATATCAAAAAGCTTTGAAAAATTTACATAAATGTCATTTAAAAACTATGACGTCAATACAACTAAACAGGAAGTAAAATCGGAAACCGGAGCAAAAGAGAAAACATTCTAGTACACGCGTAGAACTCCTTACTTTGAGTGAAATGTTGTCTTTGAAGGGAAGCATGCTTCAAAATATTGTGTATGTGAAAAAATGGCACTAAAAAGCTCGTTGTTTTTAGTCTGGTAAGTGCGTGGCGTAACAAGACCAAACAACGCGTGTAAAGGAGCTTACATATTGGGCTCATTGACGTGTATTTACAACTCTATTTTGACAGTTGCTAGGTTTCATAATCCTAGGTCACGCAGCATGAAGGATCATTTGCATTTTCTCTTTGTATACATGTAATAATCTCCGCGCGAGAAGCAAACAATTAAACTTTCCATAAGCTTTGCCGTTATTGTTTCAATTCTCACCTATAAAATCATCTTCGATGGCTTCGATGTGTTTAGTCACTGGAATGTGAGAAAGGTAAGAAATGGTTGGACTTATGATGAGAACGATCTGTTTATCTTGTAACGCTAGATCTAAACTTTGCTGGCGTGCAGTAGCATGACGAGCGTAGCGTCGGCAAGTATGAAGTTCAACTAGTTTTTTTCTTAACATAATTGTTCGTTGATGTTTTTTTAAGTCTAGCACTGCAGTTGAACGGCGTCTGAGAATTGGACGCAACGATGACTCAAGTACATCCACGAGACTCGCGCCAGGAAGATCCATCGAGGATATTAAAATACATCATCTTCTTTGTCAATGTTCTCTTCTGGTTTTTGAGCATTATTGTGCTTGGAATTGGAATTTTTGTGATGGTGGAAAAGCGGGACGTTTACAGCAAGCTAACTGACTTGTATTATGACCCAGCCGTGCTATTCGTGGTATTTGGGGGTCTTATGTTTATTTTAACATTTACCGGTTGCATCGGCGCTCTGAGGGAAAATACCTGCCTGCTGGCATTTTACGCAGGGATTATTACGGTGCTATTGATTATGGAGGTCATCTGCGGGATAGTTGGCTTCGTTAACAGTGATAAACTGGAGGAAAATATCGATGAGAAGCTCCAGAACGCTATTGTGTTTTACCGAGATCCGACAAAGCCCGATCTTCATTTCTTGATTGACACAGCACAAACAGAGCTGGGTTGTTGTGGCTCACGGTCTTACACCGATTGGGAGGCGAATATTTACTTCAACTGCTCGGCTCCTTCTGTATCCGCTTGTGGAGTTCCCTTCTCTTGTTGTAAGACAGAGGACCTACAGACAAACCGCCAGTGTGGGTACGGTATACACAAATTGAGTCCGTCTGACCGCCAAGATCTGATTCATGAGGAAGGTTGCCTAAACCTCTCAGTTAAGTGGTTTAAAGATAACTTAGCTCTCATCGGTGGGCTGTCTTTTGGTGTAGTATCACTACAGCTGGTAACGGTGTGTCTTGCAGGCATGTTCAGAAGACAAATTCTTGATGTAAAGCAACCCTCAGGAGATTAATCAGTTTTTGTTTATTTAAAACAGATTTTAAAGATTTTTCTAAAAAAAAATCTTACATCTCACGCGATGAAAACGTAATTGTCCACGTACTAATATTTACGTATTTCTTTATTTATCATATTTAGTTTCCTTTATTCCAACGGCAGTAGTGGTGTCGTTCGACTTGAAATATTTATTTCTTAAAATTATTGACATATAGTGTGTAGTTTAAAATAATCCTCGCTAATTCCGCTATTGCGAAATGCTAATGATCGCGAAAGCGGCTACAGTAATCAGGTATACATGTTGCAAGTACTTTAATTTTCAATAAGCAACCATATCACGATCAATGCCAGTAGTAGCTTAGAGTCTCTCCTTTCACCTAACATCGTCTTCAAGTAATGTTAAGCACTTTTAAGATAAAATCGAGAGAAACTACTGACCCTTCTCTTAAACTGACCCAACCAGGGGGTATTGAAAACTTCATCAGATGATCTGATTGAAGACAATGAACCAATTAGCTTTGAGGAATTCTTTGCACGTTGGGAGTTAGTCGGTTCGCCGTGGGTGAAGATGAACTTGGCAGTTCCCGCTTGAATGGCAGTTGGCCAAGTCAAACATCTCAACAGCGTGAGATGACAGTCTGCAGTTGGTCAAATTTAAAGACAATTGTTTGACTTGGGCTAAAATATATCCCCCCTAGTAAGTCCACTTATGCCTATAATTCTTCACAATCAAGTTTTTTAAGATAATATTAAAAGCAGGTTCTCTAAATGTTCTTTAATTTCACTATAATAATCACATTTGCCTGGCGTCAAAACGTCGAAATGTCCCAGTTGCTTGTGAGTAGGCTCCCATTAGCGCTGAGACGCGAGAAGGCGAAACCCGAGTGTTTCCGACAAGCGCGCGAGAGGTCAGCGGTTCAATTTGGGGACCATTCGCGGTCTGGAATCATTTGCAGTCCCGGGATCATTGCCGAGCTGTTCACAGCTCGGATTAGTGTGCGCGACACCTCTCTAACTCCTAGGGTCTCATGACTTATTCTCCTTTCTAGCTGCTACGCATCTTCTAGTAAATAACCTGACAAATTAATCTCTTCTCAGTCCCTCTGCCGGATAAACGTTCTGATTAGGTAGGAAGGAGTACGCGTAATTCACTTACGGCAGTTGAAGGGTTAGAAATGTCTTTCAATGATTGAGACGGTAATTGGTCGGGAAACAGACAACACCGCATTTACAAAAATAAATGATTAATACAGCAATTAACCAAAAGATGCTCGTTCTTTAATTCTGTTTTCGAATACCACATTCGTATATGCGAAGCGTAACGCCACAAGGCTAACAGATCTTGTAAAAAAAACAACAGTTATGATGGGTGATTTATTTTCATACGCGTTAGATTCGGACTTAACCAAGCTACGGTTTCTCCGAGAATCAGAGAGAATCCAAGTTCTCTCTTGCGCGACAAGGATAAAGCAGTAGGTAAGACCCTGGATAAGAGGGCACGAAGCCCTAACAGCCCCTGATTGGTACTCAGTGCTCCACAATAAACCAACTTATCACACGCCAATTCGCCCGAGTGACTGATCTGTTTTAGGATTAGCCGTAATGGCCTGAACCGCTACTATGGCCTCGTTAATCCGCGTTTGGAGATCTCGTAATTCTGTGACGTGCAATAACCTGATTATTTTGGCGGCCTCGTTAACTGCAGAGTCTGAAATAAAAAGCATAGAGATTAGAACATTAGCAAAACGCTACAATTTTACCGTGTACCGTGCCGGTCCGACGATAACCGGTCAAGTCGCCCGAGAGTCAACTTGATAAAAGGGGTAAGTTTCTGAAGAAACTGTAGTGCTGCGTTTGTGGAAGAGTATAACAAGGTAATTTGGTATCATCAACTGAGTTGATAACGTAAATTGGCCACTGTAAAGAGTTTCAAAGCTGACGTTCCGAGCGTTAGCCCTTCGTCAGAGTAAGGGACGAAGGGCTGACGCTCGAAACGTTAGCTCGGAAACTCTTAACGGTGGCCAATTAACGTTACCAACGGAGTTGATAATACCAAATTGCCTCGACAGTCATCTCGCTCAAAGTCATCTCACCCAGAACCTGAGTCATGGAGCCCGAAATTTTAGTCCAGTCGCCCGAAGGAACAAATACTGAAGAAAGATGAGACTTACGGACTGTAAATAGGCAGTAAAGTTGAGGAAACATTACCACCAAAGCGCTCTTTGTTTCCGACCACACCAAGAAGATGATGATCAGAATAGTAAAATGTTCGCGTGACGATTCTAAAAGCATTGTCCCTTCCTACAGAGTTCTTCCACTTTAAATTGTAGGTCCGAGTCTATTTAGGATTGTCATGAAGTGAAATTATTATTTATGGTTCGTTGTTTTGTATGACTATGGCAACCTTGACTGCTCTCAGTTGACATCAGTACACGTAGGTTTCATACGGATGGGCAAATCTAAAAATCGCACCAGTAGTAATCGATATTTTAGGACAATTTCCTCCGTAGACTAAAATATAAAGAACAGTAACACAATCTGTTTTGTCTGAGACAGTAAATTAATTAAAAACAGAGGATTGGGTTTAGTTAAAAAAAAAACTTAGTTTTAACACAGCGAGTTGATGACAAGCTTACTAAAAAAATACTCCGCCGACCGAAAAAATCTATTCACGCCGAAATACCTGAAACGGAATTGAAGTGTGATCAAGTTTCGATCGAGCGATTGCCCTTCTTCTCTACTGCAACGAAAGGCTGGATTAAAGGCCGACTTTGCGCCCCAAAATACTATAAACGCAGACGCTGGAAATAAGGAAACACAAACCTCCTGTGTCAAATCCCAAGTCAACTTTGTGGAGAGGAATTACATCTTCAGCGTTTTGATTCTATGACAGAAAGACACCCAATATCAAATAAATAAATGATTCAATAATTCAATAGCACCAGTATACAAGATTTTTTTTACTCCGCTAACTATTAAAAGTGTTAAACTAACAAAACCATTAACAAATTTCAAAGTTAGAGTTGACCTAAGTGTCTGTCCATCATTTGTGTAGGTAAATTTGAAGTTCAAAATGATTCGCTTTGCCATTGTATAACATTAGCACAGCATAATTTTCATTTGAGCTGAAACCACGGGGTGAGGCTAACCTATTTATAGCATGCTCGCTCTGATGATCATCTTTGACTTTCCCCCACTAAAAACTCCTTTATGTTAAAATGAAACAGTTTCAGTGCAGTGCATGTATCACTCCTTCACTTAAAACAATTGATTTCTTTGTTTCAAAATATCTATTTATTAAGAATAAGTTTTGCCTAAAAAAATAATCTCAAGCTACTTGCCGATTTTTTCTTAGTCTTGGAGGCGAATGATGATAGCTTGCCTTCAATAAGTGAGCGGATAGCCTGCCATGATAAAAGCCAAAAAAATTAATAAAAAAAAAAAAAAAAAAAAAAAAAAAACAGAAAAGAAACAATTGGCTCGTGCGGTCAAAATCTGGCTCAGTTAAATTTTCAAAATACTTTGCTAAGTGGGACATTCAGTAACATCTTTCTCCATTAACTTAGTTGTCATATCTGCCAAATACCAGCTGTGGGGTGAGATGACCTAATAAAAACTCTCACACTTACCTGTAGTAAAACAAAATGATCAGGGTGTTCTGGTAGGCTAAGAAGTCTTGACAAAGACGCTACCCCAGCTTTAAGATCTGGATTATCTACTATAATTAAAGAATAAAATAGTACATTAGCTTCATATATTTATAGTGTCCATATTTGAATCTTGAGACTGACTGTCATATATAGTGAACCACTAGGAGCAAATCTGGTCGGTAGTGTTTTTCAGACGTTCTGTTAGCGTCTTAGCCATCTGTTAGAATTCATACAGCATGTGTTGCATTCATTCCTTGTCCTACAATATTCCTTATCAGTGCATGCATATTTGACTGCAAGGTTTCTTGGCTGAGGGTTTATATCAATTAACTAATTTATTTTTTATTTATTTATTCAGTCATTTTATTTCACTTTATTTTTCCCTTCTACTAAGCCATCTGGCTTTAGTGAGACACATGCTCATAAGGGGGGCTTAGGGTGGGGGGTCTTGGGCCTAGTTGTAGGTTTGGCAGGTCAGTGGGGTGTTCTAGCACCTTGAGGTGCGATTGCAATTTCAGTTCCTGTGCACCTAGCCTCCTTTTGCAACTTGGGTATTAGCAGTTTGTTATGGATATGCACCTCATGATTGGTTGTCACCCATGACCTACTTGTGTGAAGAATTGCACAGCTGACATCAAAGAAATTTTTTTTGCTATTACGATGATGATGACAATGAAAACAATAATGACTATGACACTGATGGTTTTTGCAAAGGGAGGAAAACTGGAGAATGCCCAGAAAAACCATCAGAGCAAGGACAAGAACCAACCACAAACTCGACCCATACAGGATGCCTGGCCCTGGAACCAAAGCCAGGCTGCAGTTGCAGGAGGTGAACACTATAATTACAGTACACTGTCAATCAAGGCTCACATGCTCATAACACAGCCAAATTACTGACTCAAGAATAGACACAACCAAAGGTATGCAAGATGAGGAAGGAGGGAAGGGTATGGGTGGGGGTCAAGTCCTCATTCAATCTCTGGACAATTTCTTAGTTCTTTTTTGCAAATGTTATTGTTTACACTTTCACTTAATTTAACTCTGACGGCCATGCTACATGCATTTTAAATCTGTTTTCCCAAACCATAGACTTTGAATATGAGCATCCATGTGCAGAATGTATAGTTTCTATCAAATAAAATCAACAGAAATATTCATACCAGTCAAATTAATCAAGCTGTCATCAAGTGAACTCTCTCCTACTAATTCAACCTCTTCTTTCTTGACAGTTTGACCAACTGCATTGTACATTTCAGCTAGAGAAGAGTAAAGAAAAAAGGAGTTTGTCCTTAACCCTTTAACTCCCACAAGTGACCAAGACAGAATTTCTCCTTACAATATCAATACAATATCAAGCAGAGAAATGATGAGAATAGAGAAAAATATCAGTTAGGGGGTTATTGGTTGATCCAATACCAAATTCTTTAAATAGCATCACGTGAACTAGATGGCAGACAGTAAGGAGAATTATTAATGAGATCTTGGGAGTTGAAGGGTTAGGGCTACAGGCCTATACATCCAATCCTCAAATTATAGACAAAAGGAATGGTATTGGAATGAATTTTCTCTTGAAACTTTCAAATCTAATTTTTCACTCTAGCCTTGGGTTATCTTTAACCAGCTTTGAACAACCCAGCTCAGAACTCTTGACCCATGATCCAGCCCTTATAACCTTCTGCTACCACATCATCTGCAAATCATTGCAGTTTTTATTTTTCCTTTGTTAACCTTATAACCCTAAGAGTGACAAGCATCTAATTTCTCCTTACATGATCACCTCAGAATTGCATATTTAGGTCACAGGAATAAAGGAAATGATCATCAAGTAAAGAAGCACTTGATTGTTAAACAAATTCTCCATGTGAGTACCTTGGGAAATGTATAGAGAACAGTATGGAGAATATACAAACTGATGTTAGGGTGTAGGGGTTAAGCTTATCACATGCATATACGCATAGAAGGCATTATGACATTGTGCATACACTTCATGGCGATTGGGAATGAGCTAGAGGAAAGAAGATGTTAACTTATGGCTATGAGGAACCTATTAATTACAAAAGAAGAGTGACTGAAGTACTACCAACCATTCTCAGCATATTCAACTCTCACAGCATGAGACAGTAACCAGTCAACTACACTGAGCTTTTGTGAAAAATCCAAAGGGCATTGCAGATCATCTAAATACTGAAAAAAAAAATTAATAAATTTAAATTCTTTTCAGTCCCAAGTTCAGTAAGCATCAGCACCATTTTTAGAGAAAAAAATGATGACCTTGTCTAATATCAAGCCAATAAGCCCAGCTATAGGAGAGCAAAAATAAAATGTGGGATCAAGGTATTAACAGCCCACGGGGCAATCAGTTCTTAGGCAAGCAAGAACCAAGTATTTCTTTGTGAAAAGTATGGCTACCGTCTTAGGTTTTTAAAGCAGAGGAAAGCTAGAGAAAGAAAAAATTCAACCGTGAGGTTAGACATTAAGCAAGATGAAGGAGAGGGGAGTGGTGAGGAATGGAAAATTTTTTCTCTTTCCTCAGTGTTCCCTCTTTCCTCATTGTCCTTCTAATCTTCAACTAAACTGAAACATGGAGGTCCAGCAAACAACCCCTAGCTTACAGCACTTAAACTTGCTTTCCCTACTAAGATGCACTTGGCACTGCAGGTTAAGAGGTAATTAGGTTGTTTTTCAAGTGGGTAAAATAGTCTGGAAATTGATACCTGAAGACAGCCTGAGACCACACAAGGCCATCCATCTTGGGATATTTCCCATACTGTGACTACTGCAAAATAATTTCTCCTAATTTTCCCAGATAATAACCTTTTTCTTAAGTTCCAATGGGTAACATGCGCTTAACCTTAAACCGCCTCTAAGTTTCTTGTCCGTTTGACCGTAAAAAAGAAAAAAACCAATAAATTATGTATCTAATAATTATTATTTGTTCCACGTGTAACTTCACTCGAGCTTACAATTCTTCTGGACTACTCAAAGGACAAAGACATGAATAAGCATTCACTTTCCGAGCAAAATTTCCATCAAACCTCTTTATTTCACTACGGAAACTGTTCTTTCCGGTTTGGTCGGAAATATTCACCTTTTTAAAAGTTTTTGTCCATTCATTCTTTTTTGTATCTCTGAGTTCCTCTCGCTCTTCTATTCTGTAATATCGAATTTTCTGGTCTTCCAGCCACACAACAAGGTTTCTGAATTCATCTTCATCTGAAGGTTAAACAAGACATTTACATGACGCCACGTTGTTATGGGATGACGTGCCCAAATTCTACAGAAGCGTTGTATGGTATTGTACTTGTACAAAACTATCGGGCCGATAAATCAAAAATTTTTTCTTGTAAATATTTTCACATTGACTACAGGTTACTTACTGTTTACTTGAAATGATGGGTGATGATATCCCAAGGCTTTCAGTTTTCGTCTGAACATGCTCATAGGATTGCGTAAGTGAATTCCTGTTAAGTTCCTCTCATCGTACAACGAGCGTTTGAAAAACGTGGGGTAAATAATTGTTTGTTTAGTATTGCAGACGAGAAGGGACTAGGGCGAGAATTGACTGCGGGCTCACTGAAGTTTTAAAATGGCGGACGAACACAGACAATTAGTGTTTTAGATTGATTGCGCGTAATTGCCAATTTCCCGCGGTTTTTACAGAGGATTTTGTTGCGACGAAGTGTGTGTTTCCAAGATCAAAAAATAACTTGAGAATACATTTAAGCATAAGTGGAAAAAATGGTTCATCTATGGAGATGTCTACAATATCGTGGTGTCAATCCTTGTTCGAGCGCTTTGGAACGGGTTTTGAGGTTCGCAGGGAACAGCGGCTGTGATCAATCCTCTAGAAGTACCCATACAGACAGCAACAAGACCTCACAACTTTGGTTCGACCTCGATAAACTTGAAACAATGAATCGGCGAGAGCTACAACAGCTTTGCAAGAAATGTGGTATAAAAGCGAACAACAAAACTTCGATTCTTGTTAGTGATTTGAAGGAATTTCACTCGCTTCAACTCACGAACCCGAATTCAGTTCTGCGCTTCCCTTTCATAGCTCAAACTAATTCTGAAAATTTTACCCCGGTAAAGGGTGACAAAAAGTATTTTCTTCCAACTGGACTGAAGCTAGATAAAACTAATATCTTATTTAGCTCTACCGAGTCCCCTGGTCAGTGGATAAGTGGGGAGGTGAAAAAACTACACAAAGCCGTGAAATCAAAAGGAATTATCACAAAGACTGTGGGAGAGTACAAAGGTACAACAGATAAAACAAAACAAGGGGAATTTCCAGTTAAAGGAGACATGTATTTGGCTAAAAATGCAAGTGTTTCAGCCATTTTGAATAGTGCATCAAACAGGTTCATGATTGCCATTTGGCAGAAACAACAGATAGAAAAGATGGGTGAGGAAATGTTTAATGAGTACAGAAATTTATTAGCAAAAAGTGGTAAAAAATTTCACTCATGCATGACAGACATTCTTCACAAAAAGACTGAGGAGACAGGGGAGTTTCCAGAACTTGTTTCAAGCTTGATTAAAAGTGTCTCAAAAACTGGGATTTTAAAGCTTCTTACAAAGGATAAAGTGCTGGCCACAGAGGAGTATGTAACACACTCTTCTATTGGTTATTCAGGCACTTTTGATGGACTAGCCATATATAATGGGGTACCTTGTCTGATCGAATGGAAAACATCACAAAACCCCAGACCAACACTGGATAGTTGTTTTGATGCTCCATTTCAAGTGGTGGCCTATGCAGGGGCTATCAATTCTCATCCTGTTATGAGGATTCCTGTAACAAGTTGTTTGATTGTTGTTGCTCATCATGATGGCTCAGAGGCAGATGTTCATTGGATGGACTTAGATACCTGTGAGAAATTCTGGCAAAAGTGGCTGATTAAAGTGTTGAAGTACAAAGAAAAAGCAGAAAGTGTTTCAGAGAAAAGTGATGCCTCTTGAAAAAATATCAATGTGTTCTACCATACCTGAGATTCAAAATTGATTGGGTACTATCTTCCAACACTTTCCTGTTTTCAGGAAGAATGAAACAAAACTCATCAGTGTATACATTAATGCAAGATTTATTTAAATCATTCACCCATATACTTCTTACTTCCTTTGCCCAGTGGAGGAAGATGTAGTAACTTAAGGTTAAGGGAGGTCATAAATATTACCTCCCCCTTGGTTAGAACCTCACTCTGTACATTACAAGTAACTCCTGCCCTCAACACATTTCTTAGCAATCTGTGATACTTTACAAGACCCCTTTTTGTGGTGCTTCTGGATCAGAAAAAAATTGACTGGGTAAAACTGTGTGAACTGACCTTTTGACCTGACCCTATGACCCAATTTAAGGCTCCAACGCAGAGCTCTCCTTCCAAGCAAACCTGAGTCCAGAATACTACTGCATATTTCATTTGTTGCTAGGGCTGGAGGAGATTTTTGCTCCAGAGGCCATATTTTTTCTATCTCTATTAAAATTATGTTGGAAGGTTCACTGCTTGTTATGTGTTGGGTTGGGTAACTGGTTGTTTGGTCCTATGTTTAATTTTGCTAAGGACCAGTTCACCAAGGTCTAAGGTCATTTCACTGACATCTCAGGTCTGGTTAGGTTATTTCACTCACGAAACAATTGCAAAACGAAGGCAGTTCATGTCTTCAGACGTACTAAAAAAATCCAGTTTGGAAGCTGCATCAAAATATCCTTGAGTTAGACTGTGAGGATAGCAGCTTCTAAATGTTCATACAGATCAGTGAGAGATAGAGAAAAGAGAGCTGAGATTTTGTTACTGCACAAGTAAGGGGCCAATTTGTTAAGCAATTGTACTTGGAGTAGTGATGACTTAAAAGGTGTGGTTACACACACTACAGTAAATGGCATTTACCGCATTGGATCATCCTTCGGTGTATCACACGTGAGGTTACACGAAACTTGTCATTGATTTGCCAATGAATTTGACTTGAATGTGCCTTAAATCTTTAAACACGCCAAAGTTTGGAGCGTAAAATTTTATTTCATTTAACTGTCGGCTCAGTTCAGTTCCTAGTTGCTCTTATCGTCATTGAAGCAGCTCATAGCCTGAAAAAGCACAGGCTTTGAATTTGAATTGACCAATAAGATTGTGCATACTATATACATATATACTATACTATATACAGTTCTGTTGTGAAATGTACTGTACCCAAAACATTGACTACAGCTGAGACATCTGGCATCTGTTTCGCGGAAAATCGGAAGAAACAAAATTGGTTCCTGTTATGATGCGTTCAGTTACAATAGTTCAATCAGTGAACAATTACTGTGAGGCTGAGTGCCTGGAGCTAATTAGGAAGACTTCAACAAGAGTTGCCGGAGGTAGAACAGATTTCCCAAAGGATTAATCATGATCACCAATGAGTATGTTTATAATGAAAATTCGAGACTCCACCGGCTTCTGATAAATTCGAAACGTTATAATGTCGTTTCAAAGGTGGATGCATGTCTGTGAGTGCTCGGGCGTTTGTAACGGCAAAATTTAGGCGCACATGCATGTGAAAAGGAAGTGAAAATCATTTGGAAATCATGCAGAAAAACTCTTTACTTTACCAAAAGATTCTCTCCTGGTCTAAAACCAGTTCTTGAAAGCTACAAGTGAAAAGGTTGGCACTCACTCACACGCGTTAGATCCTTGACGTACGGCGACTTGTGACTGAACTTAGGAAAACCTGAGGTATAAATTAAGGCTTCTTATTTAGCAACTGAGTTAACCAATTTTTACAATACAAATTAATGAATCCATTTTACATCACTCATTACTTTGTTCATCCACGACATTTGAGCATCTCACGAGCGTCAGCTATAGACACACAAGTGTTCTTTACGTCTAAAGCTTCAAGAGGAGCCTAGCTTTACATGGTCATTTGGACAGATTTTCATGTAATTCTGTTCAAGAACTATCAAAAATTGCCCCTCAACCTTATTTCTAAAAGTCCTGTTGCCTCGACCTTCTTTAAGCTACCTTTTGTTTACGTCCTCTTGGTACACTTTTGCCAGTAATTTGCAAGATTTTCAACCTGTCCCTTGAACTGAATCATGAACATTTACCAGCGTCTAACGTCTTTGAAAACTGTTATTTTATCTTCTTTATTCAAGAATTCCTCCCTCAATAATGAAGTTCTTAGCAATTCAGACCGATTTCTAATCTGAAAGCCGTTTCTTAAATTAACGAGAAAGTAGTGGTTCTTCGTCTTGTTCAGTATCTGGAGCCTAAAAATCTCAGTGAACCACTAAAATCTACAAGCGATTTCACTGTTGCGAGACGGCTTTACCTATTAACTTACATTTGAAAGTGAAAAACATAAATCGTCGATGCAGCGTGAAGACCTCTTCAGAAAGAGAGGAATATTTAGTTCTACAAATTAGCATATATGGATCGGAGGAAAGGAACTCGGCTGTTTTACCAACATGTCTATTCTCATTGTTGTTTTAAGGTCAGTTTGACTGACATTTCTATGGAATATAGCAACTGGAAAAATGAAGAGGTGATAAAAATTTCAACATAAACACAGGCACGATGGATACAGGTGAAAAACATAAAATGTAAAACTAGCCATGTTACCCTAGGCCTATACCTAATTATCGTCTGATCCTTTCGGGAGTGTCTTTATGAAGTTGACTGTTGGTCGAAAAAAAGTGCCAAAAAATTTATCCGTTACACGAAATAATTTTACAAATTTAACCTTTAGTCGATTAAAATATTAACCCAACATTTTTTCTGGTGACCACAATGAAAAGATATTGACCATGAGCCGTAAATTGATCCGGTAAAATTTTAACTGTCAGCCTAAAAAGCCATCATCCCATTGAGATCCCCGTTCAGCTGAAGTGTGTAGCCGCGAGCCGGTCTGAAAAATTCCGTTCGGTCCACACTCGCATGGTTCTTTTGCATTTTCCACGAATGTTAATAAGTATTGTGGACGTAAACTTAAAATGAAAACAGACTTAAGAAAAGAAGTTGTGTTTTTCGATAAATTTTGACCTTCAGGCTCTTTCTGACAGAAAGAAAAAAAAAGGGGTATGTGTAGAATATTTTTAATAGTTACCCAGCGCGCTTCCGTCCTATGTATGAAATCGTGTCCTGTTTAGGTAAAAAAAATATAAAAATTTTTGCAACTTAGTGGTCAGATGCTGTAATACTCACTGATTGAATTTGGTCGGGCCTAACAGGAAGATACCAGGCTCCTGGTCATCCGCTCGGCCCTCACACTCAGTCAATTAATGCTCACTCTGCGGCAATAAAACTACGAGGGAGTTTATAAGAGAGTTTAGGAAACGACGACGGCGACACCGCAGACAACGTCGGTTAAAAAATGAACTTGTATTTTACCCACGAACCTCGCGATACTCTTCAGTCATTTAGTTTGTTTCTTGCTGTCAAAACTATCTCGAAACTGAATATGGAACACGGAGTTAAATTAGAAATAGGAATTTAAAAAATTAACCGTCGCCGTTCATGTTCTCCAGACGACGCAAAGTTTGGTCGTTTCGCGTTGTTGTTTTGTAGAGGACGCAAAGAAATTTACAAAGCTTTACTACGTACGTGCACAGCCACTTTTCTGCTCATTAAACCTTTTATTTGGTGACTTTCCCGTTGACGTTGCCGTCTTGGTTTTCTTAAACTCCCTATATGATTTCAGGACGGCGATGTGTGATAAAACGTCACCAAAAAAACACAACTTATTTCTTCTAAGATTTTTAACTGATATCTCGATGCGTTGACCGTTTACGATGGCGTTCACGCTACATTCTCGTTGCCGTCGCCTTCGTAATTTTCTTAAAGTCCCTTATAGGTAAACCTCGATATAACGTGATCCATGCCTACCACTATAGCTAGGTGGAGAGCATTTTATCTCCAATTGGTGGTTTTTAACTTCGATTAGATGACATCTAGGGTAGGTATATATTTTTTCCTCTAGCTCAAAGAAATTTAAGACCCGTCTCTAAATGACTATGGCAGGTGAGAGACAGCTGTACTTCAAATTCTAATTTCTGTCGAGAGGGTGCGGAATGAAGAGCACACCTGCGTATCCGGTTCGTGTCTTTTTTCAAGTGAAAAGACTTGCTAACTAGTTAAGCATATAGATTCACATAACGCAAACGAAAGTCACCTGCATTTTTAAAATTAAAATGGTTACATACACAAGTTTTTTTTTTTTGAAAGGCAACGAGGCCGACTTCCTTGCGGTCGGCGAAATGATCTAAAATAGTAGCATGGTATAGGGTATATTTCAATTTCTCGGTCCTCCTAAACAGCCAGAGGATGAATCAATTGGGGATCAATCTTTGATCCTTTATCGAACATTTTGGTTTCATCTGTTCCTCTTTCTTGTAACCATAAAAAAATTGCGGAATAAAAGCCAAAAATCCCTATGTAAAATGTACCCTTTGGAGTCACAATGACTTAATGTTAGTTGCGTTTTTCCGTTTTCCGATATTTTTGAGCTACGATGTTTTGCCATTTTTTATTCCGCCCAGGAATAAAACCGGAACGTAAAATTTAACTTCTCTGACGACAGCCTTTCAAGATCTCACTGAACGGGACTACTCGATCACACCACTCGATCAATCTTTTTTTAAAAGAAAAAACATAAATCATGATTTAAATGCTACTTTCTATGCTTAAGTCTAAAATTGGAATTGGATGACCGAAAAAGCCCGAAAGATGAAACTAGCGTCACTTTTAAACCCGTTATGTTATGGCAACATCGAAACATTTATGCTAATAACCAATAGAACTTTTGCTCTCAAGATTTACATGACAGTAGTTTCCACCATTGTCACAGAATGTCGAAAACAACCGGTGCTTGACTGGCCAGCATATAAAATCTTACCCAAAGACATACAGTTCAGTTGGGATATTGCGCCGACACTTCTCTTTTATTCGAAGTATTTTAGAAGAATGGGCTTTTACTGCATTAAGATGACGTTGTCGTTGCTTTTTCTCCTTCTCTCCACAATTTTTCCTCATTTAGTAATCACTGAAACAAACGTTAGGAAAGATGAAAGTTGTACTGTTAGCCACGCGACACCCGTGTTAGCGGCTCTCGAAAAAGCAGTGTTATTTTACAAAGAAAATGGCGAAGATTTAAACCTAGACGCATATTTTGGTCTTCGTATCGCTGAAGGTAAGAACAGAGTGTTCCATAAGCGAACAAGTAACTTAATTACAAGTGATTTTTCCTCAGTTTTTGAAAGGTTTCTTAAATTGAAACGAAAGGCCTATATTGGCACTTTGTTTCGGCTTTAGGTTAAACGAAACGTAATTTTTTACCGTGATAGGCGCTAAAATCGCCAATAATTCTAATATTTCCTAACCTCTCGAACATAATCGACACATTTTCTTGTTCAGGTATTTTACATGAGTTAATCCGACAAAAGAAAACTGCTACAGCGTTGATAAAGTCTTGCATCCTCAAGCAAGTCGTTCAACTTCAGCATTTAGTCTCTCAAATTGTTTCAAAATCGATGGCTTCACTGAGGCGCAGAGATAGGCATTACTTCAAAATGGTTGGATACACAGTGTCACAGCCCTGGCTAACAATAAAAAAGTATAAGAAAATAAACCCTAAACTCGTAACACCGTTCGACAATAAGAAACTTTCAGATGACATTCTGCATGAGTATCAGCCCTGCCTGGCCAGGTTACTTGGCAGTGCCTTATATGGGAGTAGGCCGTGTGACATGCCTAAGGAATGCTTGGAAGTGATGATGCGACCGGGAGAGGTTGGATACGTGCTGACACATCAAGCACTTTATTTCATGTTTGGTGAGCAAAGAGGTTAGTAACCGTCTTTGCCGTGAGAGACAGTATCGGTAACTGAGCAAAGATATTGGCAATATAAGTGGCTATCACTTTAGTTCAGAAGGCGGATCAGTTGACAATTTACAGCCAGTCTGATTGACCCCTGACTGATTTAATTCCTATGTGAGTGACAGACGAACTGACTGACTCACTGATTTTGTAACAAACGGACCGACTGAATTAATGAATGATTCACTGATTCACTGACTGCTAGGTAACTAATTAATTGACTGACCCACTGATTGACCGACTGACTAATTGACTGACAAACAAACAGACTGAATGACTGATTGACCGACTAACAGACTGACTAACTGACTGACTGATCAACTGAACGACTGTCTCTGATGAGTCAATTGAAAGAATTGAACACGTGATTGATTTGCTTATTTCGCTGAAGTCCGAACCTGACCAGCTGATTTATCAATTGTTTAGTTGCTAAGTTACTTAATGCTTTAGTTGAATTATTTCAAAAGATTAGCCGTTAATCAATTCATTAACTAATCAGCTGATAACAGGATGTATTGGGTTGATAAATTGATTGATAATTCTATTGATGTATTCTCTCCTCAGGATGCCTGTATGAGTTCTCAAGAAAGATGAAAGAGTTCAGAAGCTCAGTGGAAAAAGTATACGACAAGATTTGCTCCAATATTTACACTCAGCTGTTATTGGTCGAACAAGTTCGTCCTTTCAAGCGGATCGACGCTGATTTAATGATGGAGCAAAGTGTTGTGTGTGGCCTGCTTGGATACTTTGAGTTCTTAACCCCTCATCGGTTGGCGATTATTAAAAGCTGGCAGCGACCGAATGGTTGTTATGGAGAAATCGAAAATGAGGAGGAATTAAATAGAAAACAGGGCTGGAAGACAATGAGGAAATTGCTTGTGGGGAAAGAATTATCTGGTACGTTTTGAGTGCAATCAATAAAAATAAAGCCCCGTTTAAACATTCGTGATAATTGAAGATGGTTGATGATAGATTCAGCCATCATTCACCATCATTGACAATCACGTTTGCGTTCAAACAGCTCATGACAGTTGATAAGAATTGACAGAATCACAAGGTGAGATCGTGAGATTATGAGTAAACATATTCTCCATACTATTCTCTATACATTTCCTAAGGTACTGATAAAGAGAATTTATCTAACAATCTCGATCTTTTTTAGTAAGTGATCATTTCCTATATTCTCGCGACCTTGATGTTTGACTCAGGGGTGATATTGTAAAGAGAAGTTGGATGCTTGTCAATCCAGCTGGGGCCAAAGAGTTAATCAAGAAAATTTAGTGTTGTATCAATGCAGTAACTCTGGCTGATAAGTTCGTCTATTCTCACTGCCTGTTTGCCAGGTATTTTATATAAATTGTGGGGTGAAATTAAGTTAATCGTTACAGTGTGGATTCTTTCAATTCGCAGATGGATGCGAGTCACACATCACTGGAGTTGGCACAGCCCTACTGTCAATTTACCTTCGTTTCTTAATCGATAACGAGCAGCTGATGGTAAATTCAACCAAAGCTGGCGAATTCTAAGAACTAAAGTCATTGGTAAAAGGCTTTCTCGTTTCTCCTCTTTGACCCTCCTTCAGCTCGGGGAAGGTATACGGGCTCATTTCCTGAACAACGGATAGTTATCTCGACTCCACCTCACCACCCACATCACAATGTCGGGTTTTCATTATTTAGTTTTATTAATAAAATTCAGCATTGGTTGGGAAGTGTGGAGGGGAGATAGAGGCGCTTGTTTAGCTTAAAAAAAGTGATTGATAATAAATAAAAGAAAGCAGTCCCATGCTTTCAATGTCTGAAGCATTGAATGACCCAAGCCATCAAATTATCGAGTCGTCTAGTGCTCTCTTTCAAGCGATTAAGGTATTATTAGAACGATTTTTGTGGTAAACTGTAGTCTTCAGCAACCGTTAGGGTTTCAAAGATACGTTTTGAGCAATTTTTCTACTCCATTACGTAAATGTCTCAGAGCTTATTAATCGTTTAATGAATATAACGGATTTTATAATAAAGTTCGGATATAACGCGCGCTGTCATTGGTTGAAAGAGCGTGCTCTATGAGAGTATAGAGCATAGAGCTGAGCTAAAGCTGTCACGCCATCTGCCAATTGTACTATGTTCGAGCTTTTCCAGGACTTCTTTTTAGCTTTTTTCCGATAATTGAAAGTGAAATTTCGGAACTGAAGCGAGCCGACAAGTGGCAACGGAAGAATCAAACAAAGGTTTATAAACATACCTGGCGCCGTAATTTACGTTATTAAAACGTGAGCAGATACGAAAATCCTCAAAGGAAAAACAAAATAAACATTCCGAGTTTTAAAGATTTTCGCGCTCAGTTAGATTGCAAGCTTACGTACGGTAACAAAAATCAAATACAGCTAAACACTCGTATAGTATATAAAGTTCAGTGTTCAAAAACAAAACAAAACAAAACAGAAATGATGCAAAATTTAACCAAACTGGCATAATTGTTAAAATTCATACTAATCATGACGGTGTCTGAGCGAATATGATCATGCTGAAGTTCATCGCGGCTCGCTCATCATGGCGATCTCCGGTCATCACAGTAAAGCAAGCCTCAGAAACTACATCGGCCACCCTTCGAGTGAAAAAATAAGAGCTTGCTCTGATATCCTTTCCGATACGTTGAGTGGAAAGTCACATCAGTCACTGCAGCCGAGTTTTGCGGCGCTATCATCACGAGCGATCTTCATGTTCCGGTGAATTCGGCTGTCGTTCACTCAAAAAACACTCGCCTTGAACAGTTTGTTTTCTACCTTGTCATGTGAAAAAACTCGCGTGTTTTTATGAGCCATAATTCGGCTGAAGTTCACTGATCATTTCACTTCAAGATTCTGTATTAGAGACTTAAAAACTTTAGGCAAAAGTGTTGAATTTGACTTGCCGAACTACTTTAGTTTGTAAACTATTGTAGAATTTGAACTTTGATGATTTTTGAACTTTGATGGTTTGACACTTTTGACAGCTTTAGTCTTGTACATCCAATCAGATTATTTGAAGCATTCTGACAGGGATTCTGATTGGCTTATTGTAGCGTGCTTTATGAGAGTATAGAGCATGCTGACGACACTGTTGTTCGCTTTGGAAATAAAGTTTGTTTTGAAAATTGAAAGTAATGCTTGGGTAATTTAACGGATTCTTTATTATAAAACAAATAGAGAAGCCTTGACTGTGCTCTGTTCTGTTATAAAGCACGCAGGAAGCGGCTAGAACACTCAAGAAGGAGAAAGAAACACTCGACTGCGTCTCTTTTTTTCCCACACTTCTTTCGTGCTCTAGCCGCTTCCTGCGTGCTTTATAACAGAACAGAGCACAGTCAAGGCTTCTCTATTTGTTAAATAACCGACCATTAATTTACGCGCGACTCTAAGCAAAATCACAGGACAGTTATCATTCAATTCATAACCCATTTACGTGGATATTTGTCCTCCGAGAAATAAAGCCAGCAAATAGAAGCCAGCTCATGAGTTTCGCTTCTCATCTTTATCATTTAGCATGGAAAAAAAGGCGAACTTGTTTTGTATTGTCCTTTGGTTGAGAAAGCTGATCTCAAATGCTGCTCCGGAAATCACAGAAAATCAAACAAAATTTCGCTGTCAACGCACGATAGGAGAATTAATGGGAGGGTTATAAAATGAGTAAGTCCCCTTCTGGCTTGCTTGCCTGTAGCATTAAATGTGATGATCAATCCTAAAATCGGTAAGTACTGGATTGAAGCTATGGATTTAATAGATTCTTCTTCGTAAGCTGTACTAAGTTGATGTGAAATCTACCCCGTGCGTTAAGAAGAAAACCAGGTACAGTTCTGCCTTCTGAAGTTTATGCAACTCTAATCTACATTCTAGTTGTCAACTCTGCCCCATTTCCCTTCACAATTGTACTTAATCTGCCGGTTATGGTGGCCGTGAAAACTAAACCACAGTTGAGGACGAAGTATAACGTCATGACTCCATGTTGAGCAGTCACAGATTTTTTGGTAGTAGCTATCACGCAGCCCCTGGTCAAAGTTGACCTAGTATAGATAGATATTCTTCATAGAAAGGCATCAATGTTTGCATGTTATAGTCAATGAGTTTTTGTGAACGGACTTAGGATTTTCGGTGCAGCATCTGTCTTTCACTTAGGTTTCATTTCGGATTTTCTTCGAACGTTGAATGGCCATTTTTTACCCGTACACTTAGGGCCTCGATCACTGAACGACGTCTATTGGCTGCCTAAATTCTTGCATGGGCCATAAGTTTGCTCTTCGTAATTCATCCTCTCTTTGATAAAACTTAGGCTCTTACAGTAAACATGTTCATCTTTGGATGGCGCTGGCGATCATTGTCATTGGTTAGTTTGTACTTTACAGGGAAGCTCGCAGACACGAGAAGGTAATCAGTGCCCAGCGAGTTTCACAAGAAGTGAAACGAAGATTCCTTAGAGAGCAAAAAGCCTCGAAAGTGACTAAGTTGGTTGTTATATCTGTATTAGTCTTTCATATACAAGCAACTCTTATCTATTAGTTAAATAAACCTCCAACATTTCTCCGACTGTTGCCGCTGTTTTTTACTCTATTGGAGGGTTTATCCTAATCCTAAACTCTTCGGTCAATCCATTTATTTATGCCACTATAAAAAGACAATTTCGAGTGGCCTTCTTTAAAATTATCATGAACAAGACTCAAAGACAAGTGCAACAGATCGAGAGCCGAGTTTTTGGATCAGCAAACACGGTGGGTGTTCTCCATCAAATAGAAGAACGAGGAAGAAACCAGCGAGATTTGAGCAACACCCTTCAGAGCGACCCCATCGACAACAAGGTACGAGACCGTCCTCAAATACAACGCAAGGCCACGAAATAAATTACCTGATGCGGCGACTGGGAGTGATAACTGCATTTATCTGCCTTCGAACAAACTGATCCATTAAACCAGAGAAAACCCCGATTCTCTTGGAATGAAGTCACTTGGAGTATTTTATGGAGAGAAGCACGGAGAGAAGTCTGGGGCCCGAGCTCCTTGATCAGGAGTTCAATGAGCAAAACTAATTGGACCTTCGCTTCTAATTGGAAGCCTCTTGATCAAACAATAGACATTACTGACAGTTGTTTCCTTCTTACCGATAAGATGAAATTTAATGGTTAAAAGCGTATGATGTGTTTAGTTGAATAAAAAAGGATGAAGGTTCTTTGAATTTGAAATCTAACCTCTTAAGTATCTTGATTATTGATTTTTCCCGCAAAGTAGGGCATTTAAAAATTCATGAAAGCATGTTCCATGCACACCATAGTTCGCACAGAAATTATTCACGAGACGCAGTTAAATTCTCTAAACGCTAAACATGAACTACTTCTGGTTTTTTCAGAATAAACCAACCAAGAATATATTTTTATTATTTTGTTGGCTTTAGGTTTTCCACGTCTGCAATTTAGAGCAGTATTTCATATGTGCTCTAGATTTTATATTATTCTCCAGCAGTTTTTGTTAAAGTCGAATGCACGTGCATCCTTTCAACTTCGTTAATGTGCTCATTCTGAATTGATAGTACGTATTTTTTGTTCAGCTCCTCTTTGATAAAGAAATTTCTTCCTTCGTGGTGAGTCAATCTAGATGGTAAAAGACCCATTCAAATGTTAATTGCTAGTTGGTGAAGGATCGCTTACTTATGGTAGAGGATCTCTTTAGACGAATTTGCGCGACATCTCTAGCCGACGTGATTTCTCCCTAACAATTTATTGTTTTTATTATTTACCCAGAACACGGAGCCAGGCTGTATCAGACAAATTGGAACAATTTCAACAACGAAGAGAGTCAAAGTTAGGGAAATTTGCTCCCTGTCCCTATAAACATAGGCTGAAATTCAGTTCTGGTGTCAAGCGATGGATTTTGTCTAAGCGAATAACACTCATAATTCACTTCAAAAGATACATGCATATATTTTAGGGACTCACCCAGGAATATCTTCATTGTGTTTCTATCAAACCAGTGATTGAATTTCCTGAGAGTAATTAACACACATTTGGTCAACGCATCTGGCTTTCACAGTGTGAATGCAGATTGGCGATTTCAAAAGGTTAAAACTAAATTAGTTATATTTGTTTGTTTAAAGGTTGGTCTCAGTATGCATTTGATACAACAAACATCTTTTATACACCCACCTTAATTGGTTCCCTTTGTTCAATTCTTATTTTAATTTGCATTATTGCTGGCGAATTGTCATGAGCAAAAGTTTGTCGATGACTACTTTTCAAAAGACTTGATGAAGACCAAATAATTTTTTTAAGAGGTACTCCCAAGAAGGTTTTTTTTTTTTATAAAAGCTATGAATAAAGCTGAGAACCCTTGGAATAACAATTTCTCTCGGTCAGAAGTAAATTGAAACTTCAATAATAGCAAACCGTATCTAACAATTCTACCTGATTAGTGATACAAATTAGACAAAAGCAATAAACGCTTCGTGTGAATAGCGTTATTCTGATATTCTGTTTGTTAATTATTTAATAACTCGCAACCTATTTTAGTT